ACGTTCTAAACTGAAATTATAAAATGTTCACTTTATATTTTAGAAAAGTAATCTAATTAAATAAATAGTCAAACAGCACATTGCACATGTTCTTGATTACACAGAATGTAGGCCAAGCCAAAAATTTTAATACTGACGATAAAAATTAAAAATAAAGTATAGCTTCTTAAAATGTACTTAAGATTTATAACATTTAAGAAAGGCTCACTTGGGACAACCATTATCTCACCGTGAGCAAAGATCTATTTCATTTCTGTAGATTTCCATTGGCAATTATTTGTATAGTAATGGCTTAAATACGCTGTCCTAACAGGGAAAAGAAAATTCATGATAATACCACAAATATTTGCCAGAAACACTAAACTGTCGTTGACATTAGCTTTCTTTTGCTTTAACATCTGGAAAAATAATTCGAATTTAAAGATATCAGCTGAAACAGGTTTCTTCAATAAAGATGCATATGGAATTATGTTATCGATGAGCGTAGTTTACAACATTTCATACAAAACTTCGAAATAAACCGGATCAGGCGCCATCTTATACATCAAATTCATTGTGCAAAATCCAGAATAAAAACATGAGAGCAAAAATTGCTCAAACTTTCACGTCATTTTGGTTTCAAAACTCGGAAACTCACTCGTGTACCATTCCAGAGACCACATAACAACAGCTTTGCGCGTGGTACAGGCACGAAGGCATTGAAACTGAATGCTAGCCAATCAGAAACATACGGGATTTAGCCGTAAAGTAGTAGACTGATTTTTTTTAATTATAATTAATTAAAAACGGCCACTTGAACGACCTGGACCGAGCCAGGGATAAATAGAATTTTCTCAAGAGATTTTCTCAACGTCCCTTTTAAAAAGTAAAATAAAAATAAAAAAATCTTTTAACTGGCATCACTTTCCTCTACGTTTTATTTCTATTGTAAATATATATGCATCGCCTAGCAGTTAAGCCTGTAGCGTCATTAAGTTTTTTGGAAGCAGGAGAGATGAAAATGAGCAATGCCCTCACCGGGACTCGAACCACGGACCTCTCGAATACGGCGTCGAGTGTGCTGACCTGACCACTACACCACGAAGGCATGCTGAGAAGGCGGGAGAAATACCTTATATACTCACCCTTTTAAAGAGCGACTGGGGATTAGAGGACCCAATCGCCAAATCCTGGTGTGGAGAATCATCATCCACCACCCTTCTTTTGTTCAGGCGCCACTGTAGAAAGATTATTCGAATTATTTCGAAGCAGGGGTAAAGAAAAATGAGCAATGCGCTCGCCGGAACTCGAACCTCGGACCTCTCGACTATATGTCGAGCATGCTGACCACTACACCACGATGGCATGTTAAGAAGGCGGGAGAAATACCTTATATTAAGTGCATTTTGTAAGCAGATATTTTACAAACAAACCTCAGCATTGCGATATCAAACACACAGACAAAAAACGCATAAATTTAAGATTTTTTTAAAGCGTTTTGGTAAAACATTTGGGGGAAAATGTATGCATTAGAAAGATCCTATTTTAGAGTTTGAAATATATTAGTTTCAGAAAAATGGAAAGTGTTTTAGTGTAGTATGTTTTCAATTAAGTGTTTTAGTGCCCTTATTTGACAAGTTTACGCTATTTTAAGAAATTATCGCATTGCTCCAAGCGTTCTCTCATCTTGTAACAACTGGTTTCACGTCCGGCTACAGTCGGAAGATCCAGGGTTCGATTCCCACAATACCATATGGTCCCTGCCGAGCCTGAACTTACCACCGAATAAATGACAGTTCTAGTCACTGTGAAGACTTTTCCCCCCAGAAATCGAGTTTATTTAGGTTCTAACCTAGCCAGAACGCCGAAATTGCTCCCCGGGGGGGGACAATAACTCTACAGTGTTAGGAAATTAATGTTAAAATAATATTCTTTAAACAGCATTGTAAGAAATCGACAATTTATATACAGTACACAGATAATAAAGGCAATGAGATTTTAATAATTTCTAATTCGAATATAAAAAATAATAAATTTGAATAGAAACATAAGAAACATAAAACAGTTAACAAATAATTCAAAACACTGAAATTAATAAATGCTTCATTATAATATTTATGATAATATTTTACTCTTGAATTTTCGTATAGCATAGAATTCGCCATTTTCAGCCCAAGGTTCAGAATTTCTTAATTTCTTTTGCGCATTTTCGTTTCCTACCACTGATTACACAGCTCTTGTAGATCCAATATACAGCTCTATGAGTTAAAACCGGCATATGAAAAAGGTGCATGAAAACGTAAAAGTAAAACCTTGGCGTGACCTCAGATATACTCGCTTTATTGTTTTATTTAATTTCCATTCCGGTGAAAATCGACCAAAAAATAGAAGGTACAGAAAAGAAATAGTATAAAATAACTTGTCAGTTTAACTCTTTAACTATGCCTAGGTCTATACAGTTAAAAGGTCTATAGAGTTATACAAACTTGGCTGCTCTCATATACTCAACTGACGGTTGCGGGCCCAATAGTATTTCTTCACACTTTACTGAAAATTTGAAACAAGGAATCATCTACGAAAACATATACACTCAATTTTTAAGCTATATAATGTGAATTCAAATAAAGGATTCATATAAATTAAATATCTATGCATTGCCATGTTTTATTTCAAATGCTGTTTGTGAATATCAAAATAATTATTTTCTTGCAGGATATGAAAAATCGCTTGGGAGAGACACCAACCATCAGAAAGAGAATTTTAGCCCTTACGCTGGAAGAAAATAGTTACCTTCACGGAGCAGAAAGTATCTTAAGGGCCATATCAAAGTAAGTTTTAGTCCAACAAATATCGAATAATAGAATTTAAATCAGCTTCGAAGAAACCACAGACGCTAATAGCAGCATTCCAGTTACGTAAAAAATTTAACACAATAAATGCGTGAAGTGTAACTGCATAATAAGATAAATACAGGGGGAACTATAATTATTACATATTAAATATTAATGATATATAATTTAATTTACAATTTAATTAATTAATTTACTACTTTTCATAATATAATCATTACAATAATTTTAATATAATAATTAATTAAATTTACTACAATAATTTTGCAATTATTTAATTAATTTACAATTTATTTATATATTTAGAGTATATAATTTTTATTTACAATTAAAATTAGAGTCTCTGCGCAACGGGCAGAAAGAAAAATTTTGGTGCACAAAACTGTTGCACCAACTCACTGAATTCACTATTCAAATGTAAACAAATGACGAAATTGTTAAACTTAGCGCCACTAAACTTTTAAATTGTGGATATTTCTGTAACTGTTGCATGCAGATTAACTAAAGGCATAAAAACCTGAAACCGGAACATACGAACATGCTAATTCAATTATTTTTAAAGCAAAAGATGCGCAATTTATCCACATATAAGAAAAATAACTGAGCTCACCGAACCGAGTAGCAGAGTGGATTTTTTACTTTTGATGGGGCCGATTGCAACCAAAAAGGGGGGTGCACAAATATATGTTATAGCAGTCCCATGTAAAACATATCAATGTTCTAATGCTATTCATTTTTGACCTATGTGAGATGCATACATACAAGGTGCGACACACACACACACAACAACAACAACAAACAACCAACACAAAAAAAAAAAAAAAAAAAAAAACGAGACTGGTCCAATAAATCATTGTACTTACAGAATCAGTTCTCTGTGAAATAATCACCTTCAAAGTACCCTTCAGTATTCACATCCTGCATTCTGTGCTGCCACTGAAGGTAAGAGTTCTGGAACAAATGTTTTTGGAAGGCCCTTCAGGAGATTCTCCGTTTTTGCCTTAACCTCTTCAACTGTGGTAAAATGGGTTCCCTTTAAGCAAGATTTAACGTAAGGAAATAAAAAAAAGTCGCATGGAGCCAAACTAGGTGAATAAGGTGGATGGACCGTCACAGTAATGTTTTTGCTGGTCAGAAACTGCTTGAGAGATAGTGCCGTGTGAACGAGAGCATTGTCCTGGTGCAACAGCCATTCATTACTCCCCAACTGTTGCCTTTTTTCTCTAATTTTTTCACAGAGTCTTTTTAGTACTCCAATGTAGTAGTGTTGATTAACAGTCTGACCACTGTTAACCCACTCAATCATGATGAACGTGCTGGGGGCCCCCTTGGGCGAACAGCAGGTTCATCATCTTCCACACTGTCCCTTCCCCCTGACAACCACTTATGCCATTCAAACATGCTTGCACGAGACAAAGTTTCATCTGCACGAGTCTCGATTAACAATTGAAATGTTTCCTCCGTGGCTGATTTATTAAGTTTCACAAGAAACTTGATGTTGATTCGCTGTTCAGTTTTTACATTAGACATTTCCCAGGCGGAATGCAGTTGCACATGTTCACTCAGTGGCGCAGTTCTCCCAACTAACTTAAGTCGGAACTGGTCTCATGGATAGAGGAAATCTATGGCATGACGTCACCAAAACATTTGTGCCAACTCCACTCTTTTTTCAAGTTACACACTTCGTCTCGTTTTTTTGTGTGTCACACCTCGTATTAACGTATGTACAGACAACACAAAAAGTCTCTTCTTAATCCATTTTAAATCCATTTTGTAATCCGTTTTGGGAAAAGATATCTTTATTCTGCTCGTACATACTGTTGTCACGCAAAAACATCGTTTAACTCAATTCGAGAACAGTCAAAATGGATTTTTTCTTTGAAATATGATACTCGAAATTTTTCGCGATTACAATACTTCCTTTACTTTGTAAAAGGAAGTAATAAAAGTGAAGTTAAAATTTTTTTAATGATATAATTTAATAACCATTCTTTTTTTTATTATTTTATATATTCCTTTCTGCTGTGGTTGTTCGCCGCTTAACTGGCATATCACGTCGATCAGAAGCAAGACTAAATGATGTAAGTATCTCACACACCTTTAAGCAAATAATATTTGATTTTGAGAAAGATGCCTGAGGAAAGTTTCTCATGGTTTTAGACAATTTTTTTAAATGTCTGAGGAAAGTTCCTCATTTTTTTAGATAAAAACATTTTTTTTTAATTTATAATATAATTTTTTGCAAGATTATTCCAGTGCATAATATCTCTGATTCGAAATTTTGTCTTTTGAAATTTTTACAAAAAATTTCCTTTTTTATCTTTTACTTAAAGTTTTGAATGCGCATATAGAGAGCTTCCTTCCCCGAATTTACAGCTTTTCAGACAAAATTTATCAATTTATTCTATAAATTATTTGAGCGTTTTCAAACCAGCGACCAAATACAATGTCAAAAGACACAATTTATACTTAAGGGGAAAGAGGGGAAAATAACTCATATTTTAATTTTTATCATATGCAATATATCTTGTATTAATCTTTTTTGGATGCATAATATATGGTACATCATTTTGGATCCTTACGAATCTAAAACGAAATAAAGTAAACATACATAAACATAATATTAAGGCGAGCAGATTTTTTTATCAACATTTAAAATTTATGTATAAAACAGAAGTACCATTCATGACACAAGAGTTTTGTTTTGAAAAATTAAAATAAAATCCTAAAAATATTCTTTATGGAGAAAATAAATGTATTTTTCTTGGAAAGAATTATTAACAAAAAAAAAAAAAAAAAAAAAAAAAAAGAGAAAAAACTCATTTCTCTCCCTTTGTTTATATTAAAGCAATTTTACAATACTTTTATGTAATATTAGATCTTCTGAATATAATATGATTTCAAAAGACAAGCTATTTAATTTTTAACCCAAAGGGGCAGTTTGCCCAAGGGCTATATTTCGTTTTGGCTTTTGCGTCATTCAAACAAAAAAAAAAAAAAAAAAAAAAAAAAAAAAAAAAAAAACCACACCCATATTAGAGCCCTGGATTATATGAAAATTAAATAAAGATTTGCATAAATGTATGTATAATTTCTCATTGTCTCCAGCGCGCGAGACTTGTATCGGAATTCTAAACATGCTTTTAAATTTTTGGATATGCTGTTGACTTTATGGTTTAAGTGAGAAGAACATGATATTTAATAAATAAAGGTAACACATAAAACATTAAAAAGCACCCCTTTGCACGTAATATAAAATCGGAAAGCTTTCAGATTTTTTTTTAATCCATAGGGGCTTTGTCCCTGAAGGACTATTGTTTTCGTTTTGCGATTTTGCTTTGAATCTTTATAAATGTCAGTTTCACTTTTCAAGCTGTTGCCATCCAATGTTAAAGTTCTGTATTATATTTGAAGAAATTAAATAATGAAAAATCTGCATAAATGTACGTATATTTCTCGCATTGTGATAAAACACGGTACGTAAGCCATCGAATTTGAATGACGTAATCCCATACGAGTCTGGGCATGTGGAAGACCAAATTTGAAATTTGGAATTTTTTTTATTATCGATTTCATATTTTGTAAAACTTTAACGAATTGTTGAGTAACAAACTCAAGGATTTAAAAGCGAGCAATGGCAATACTCTACGGGGGGGGGAAACCTTCCATTCCTCTTAAAAATCTTTTCCAAACTTCAAGCAGGGTTGTAGGTCGACGTTTGGACAATTCGATTTATAAGAGTCCAAAAGAGCAAAAATCCCTGGATGATACTTCAAGAGAATTAGCAAAGATATGAGTGAAGGGTATGGTCATGATACCTATTTCTTGTTACATTTTTTTCCAGGAAATTAATAGTGGATTTTGACTTGTGGCTGCTTGCTTTGTCTTCATGCAGTTCTGCTGATTGATGGCATTGTGGGTAAAGGTGATTCATATTTGAAAACTGGGTATAAAATATGTTCCTGATAATATTTGGAGTTGACGTTAACAGTTTCCTGCACTGCCTTTAATTTTTATATGTCGTTATATCAAAAACCAACAACAATCATAAATTCCTTTGAAAAACTTTCTTCAGATTCGTTGAACCATTTTCTAAGATTTTTTTCTTCTCTTTGACTATAATGAATGGATCTTTTTTTTATTGCGATCATTTAAATATACGCAAGATTCAAAATCTAGTGTGACAACATGTTTCCATTTTTGTTCGAATAATTGTTTCTCGAAGAGAATCCTGCAGCGCGTTCTGCTTTCGGCGATACGTCCTGGAGAAATACGATGCACAAACGTTTTCTCGCCTTGTTAAGGATCCAGATCAGCATTAATCACTTTGTTTACAGTTGAAACTGAGCATTTTAATGATTATTCAACTGTTCCTTTGACTTTGCGGATTTTCTTTTAAAGTTAAAGTTTTTTTGAAACGTACCTTTGCAACATTCGAAACATTCCGGTTTTTCCTTTGATATGTATTTTGAACAATTTTTCTCCTTGTAGCCAAACTCTGACGTTTTGATACCCTTATTTATTGACAATATTATCTACCGCTGCTTTAGACACCGAAAAATCATTGCTTTCAGAGCACTTTTTAATAACTAAATACGAATACTTTTCTCCGGAAAGAGCACAAACATAGCCTTCTGTCCATTAATTCTTTAAAAGTGCCATTTTGAATGAAAGCAAAATTGTTAAGCAGCAGACTATGCATAAATGTGAAAGTACAAGCGATGCTACGTACGTGAAGAAAGCAAATTAAATCTGTGTGCTATTGATTTGAAATTTAAAAAATTTTGTATGATATTTTGAAATAATATGTATTTATTTATTCTCTCCTCTCTCCTTTTTTATCAACCAAGTCACAAGTAATGGAAGTTGTTTTAAAACTGGGCATTCAGCATAAGTTCCTGATGGGAGTTTCGTTGCCATCATTTTTCCAAAACTTTCTGAAAACACCTACGTCATTTCAATCATATCCAGAGGTAAGAACTTTCAAGTGCAATCGTAACAATTTCTGATTGCTATCTTTATTTCGAAGAAAATTGAAAATCTATCAAAATTAATTTTAGCTCTATTAACTTAGAGTCTTTAGGGAAGTAAAGAAAGAAAAAAGAAAAGAAAAGAGGAAAATAAACCTGATTTTGAGTTTTACTATTCCTCTAGAATTCTATTTTTTGTGCTTGGCATGCATATTTCTCTAAATTAATTATACCTTATAATAACTGCATACATTTCGAATAACTAGTTTTGTTCTTAAAGTAACTATAGCCAGCATGAGTTATATTTGCTATGAATTTTTCATTATAATAAATATTTTGTACATCGTAAACATCTACTGATATCAGATGGAAAAATTATTGCTTACCCTGTCATACATTATTTTTGAGCACATTTCTACCCGCAGTACTTTATATTCGGTCGTATAACGCTGGTACACGCTGCTTTAACGAAATTTTAACTTTCGTTTCATATAAACATGAAATATATAAAAAAATTATTACGTTTTTATTTCACTACATAAAAAATTATATCTTCAAATATAACGTAATCACTCTGCCGAATTAAATTTATAGTTCTTAAGTTATACATAAAGATATATTACATTTATAATACTTCTTTTTTTTATAAACAGGTGTGCCTTTTCCTCTCTCAAATACCCTCAAGTAATTCACATAATGCCTCCGCCTGGAAAGATCAACACATCATCTTACAACAAAGTATTAGGAATTTGGTGAGTATCGACACTTGGATAATTTCGTACTGGACAGTAATATTATATATTTTGTGATAAATACTTTTATTAAAATATGAACAGATTTTAGAAATGAAAAACTGAATCAATAATAACATTACTTGTTACAGAACATTATTTTCTTGAAGTGCTCCCCCCTCCAAGGGCGGGCACTAGCCATTTTAGGCCACTCCTAAGGCCATAACTGGTGGCCATTTTGTTATGGAGGCACTTAATAGGCGGCCACCATTACCTCCAATGAAGGGACAGACAATTTGCATCCATGCCTTCTCCGAGAATCGAACCCGTGCCCTTCGGTACGGTAGTCAGACTCACTAACCACTTCCCGCCCTTTTATTGAAGTCGTAAACAGAATTTTCCAAGACGATTATACGCCTTACTAAGTGGCCGAAACCGCTGAAAACTGGTAGATCGTCCCAGGTTAGTTTCCGCACGAACGGGTTTGTTACATGAAACTTATTGTGCTTTTCACATGTGTAATATGAATACCAGCCATTTACCCATACGATAGTCCTTCACGAAGACATCCCTTCCTTTAGACAGGTATCCCTCCTGTGCTATATCATTTAACCAACTAAGCCTATAATATCAACAATTAACCAACTAACAAACTATGTAAATGGGGAGAAAAACCTTGGGCGACGCAATCGCTAATATGGAAAATCGCAATAAGAAAGGAGACCCAATCGTTATATCTTGGCAGAGAAAAATTATTGTCAAACATTTTTTAGTTCGAGCGCCACTGTAGTGATATTTTCATTTTACTTTTTGCCCTCACCTGAATTCCAAATCCGGATCTTCCGATTACTAGCCGAATGTGCTTCCCAATTACATGCCGAAGGCACGCGCTAAAGGTGGGAAAAAACCTTACGGTGCTACTAAATATTCAGACAAAGGGGAAACTCAATAGTCGATATAGCGCTTATAAGAATAGCAACAGAGGACACGGCTGGCTTTACGACAGGACAAAGTGCCTAAGCCTCCCACTTAAAATTTAGATTATAAATTAAAATTAAAACCGCTTTCATTTAATATTGCGGTGAAACAGATGAAACGGAGAGAATTTAGCGCAGAGTTTCCTCATGCAAATAACGTGTTAATTAAAATAAATCTTTCAAACTATATATAGTTTATAAGCAATATACTTACAATTTTAAAATAGAAATACAAGAATGATAACTAAAAATGTGTATACTGAACATCAAATTATTACAAAAATAACACTACCATAATATCAAAAGGACAAAACCATTCTTTTATGGCATAGAATCAAATGTGTTCGCTCGCTGAAGTGATTTTTTTTTGAAATTTATTTATTTATTTGTACGAAGTATAAAGGAAGTTTGTAATCGTGAAAATTTTCGGGTGTCATATTTCATTAAATGTCCATTTCAGCCACCCTAGAAACCACTTGATGATGTTTTTGCGTGACATCTAAACGTACGGACAGAATAAAAGGCTGTTTTTGCCAAAAAATGATTGAAAAATGGATTTGAAATTTATTCAGAAGAGATTTATTTTCTTGACGTCTGGACGTACGTAAGTATGTATCTCGGATAATTCAACAACGAGTAGCCGTAAAACTTATATTTTGTATATGAGTTTGCTACAATATGTAGTTGTGCACCTCCCTTTTCCGTTGCAATCGGCTGCAGCAATCGTATATATATAAATATTCCCACTCTGTTACCGGGCTCTGTGAGCTTAGTTTTTTTTTATTCCTATATGTTAGTAAATTGAGCATTTTTTGCTTCAAAAGTGATTGAATTATGCGGTTTTTATGTTTCGGTTACGGTTTTTATGCTTTTAGTTAATCTGCATGCAATCGTTGTAAAATTATCAACAATTTAAAAGTTTAAGAGGCGAGATAAGCCTAATGAAAAGCCATTTGTTTACATTTGGAACTCAGTAGAAGAGTGAATTAAATCAGTTTCTGCACCTTCAATTCTTTTTGCCGAATAATAATAATAATAATAATAATAATAATAATAATAAAAACACCTTTCAGTTTTATGCACCAAAAAAAATCTGCCTTCTTGCCAACTAACCGAATAGCTTGTTTTTGCGTACAAACTCTAATTCTAATTGTAAAAACTACTTCTTTTAACTGTTTTAACTGCATCTATGTGTTTATCTGTATTCTACATTTTTTTAGTTAATTGAGATGTTTTGAGTTTTTATGTACTCTTGCTTTGCCGCGAAGTGAGAACTAAATTAATTGAATGAGAAATATGTCTGTAATGAAATTCGAGAAAATAAGTTTAAATGAAACTTAGCAATAATTTAGTAGGCCACACAAGGAAGTCATGTCGTATCCATATCAGATTTTTTCTTTCAGTGATCGTATACAAATTTTGAAACTTATCGCGTCACAAAAATTTTCATAGTCTGATGCCTATTTTGTTTGATTCTTTTAAAACTAAAACCATGTATATTTGAAAATCTTTTAAAGTCATACGATCTTTTTAAAAACTTTGTACATATATACAGTGCATAATAAGATTAGAATTTCTTATGTTATATAAATTGATAACTAGACGGATACTCTAAATTTATGGTAACTATGCTCTTTTATTTCAAATAAGAATGATGCTATTTTATTACAAACAAGAGATTATTAGAGCTAACTTCAAAATTTGTTTTGTGCTGTTTCTTTTAAAACGTTAAACTCAATAATCTAAATATGTCATTTCCTTTTTAGGAAAATTATTTAACACAAGGCGCAGCAGGAATTGACATTTGGTATATCAATGATGATGATAAAGATAACACTTGTGGTGAAGGTCCGTTTCCGCTACTGCATCAAGTTTTGGAAACTGTTACAGGAAACAGGAAACAATTCGGTTCATTCAGAGATCTTGACATTGTTCTTTCAACTGGAGAATCTCAGATTTCTGAAGAAGTACAAATATTACATGACTCTAATACAGATCCAGAAGAAATGAAGAAATTCAAATGCGAACGCATTGGTTTTTTCCGACATCCTAAAGATTGCACAAAATTTTACCAATGCGCAGAATATCGACCCCCAAACTGGCAACCAAGTAATCAAAATGCAGTTTTTATTTACAAATGCCCTCAAGGCTTGGTGTTTGATGAAACTCAAGAATCTTGCATTTGGCCATCTTATTCAGATCCATGTCCTGGATCAGATGAATTATTACCAGTACCTCCAAAGAAATTCTTCTGCAGCACTCCTGGTTTCCACGTAGATCCTACAGATTGCAGATGGTTCTATTATTGTTCAGATCTTGGTGACGGACGATTAGAAGCATTTCAGTTTCAATGTCCATCGCATCTCTTAGGTTTTGACGAACGTAATTTACTGTGCAACTGGAAATGGACGTTACCAATTTGCAGTGTGAAGACTGATGGGAAAAGCAGGCAAATACTTGATGAGAGGTCAACTGCTGTCTTAAATATTAGCGATATTAATACTGATGCGGAACAGGTGAAAAGAGATAGAATTTCAAAAACTTTGAAACATACAGACGAAATTTTCAACTTAAATTCTACAGTTTCAGTAAATGTTCCCAAACAAGGACAAAGATTTCAAGGAAATGTGACCACAACAAAAACAGGAAGCACTGACGAAGGTGCAGTAAGGGATTTTGAAAATATACTTAGCAAACAAACTTTACAAGCAAACAAACTGACTGAAAGACAGAATGTATCTAATGCTACAAAAAATCAAGCTAGATCATTGGGGAACCACAATGAGATAAAATTTGATCTGAAGTTAGATACTCCTATTGTAAACACATCTGATCTTACGTCGCAAAATTTCAATGAAACAGAAAATCGTCCTGAAAGGAAATATGGAACTGCTTACTGGCATAGATCTTGGGTAAATAACAAAGTTATCAATAATCAGCAGCAAAGAAATGTTGTAAACAGTTTACTCGGCATTAATCGCAATCACAAAACTCACAATGTAAACTCTTTTCTCATTGAACGTAAAGAACATCACAATCCAGACGACAATAATCTCTTCGAAGGTGAACCAGAATACCTGCCATTCACAATTGGAAATGAAATTCATAACCAAAACCGTATAAGATCACCACTTACAAGTACAAATAATACAGCAAATAGCAGTTATATGCAACCGCAAAACAAATCTGGAATTGGTAGAGTACGAAAACTCAGAATTGATAGGAACTTTAACATTCTTTTAGACGAAGAACGATATCCACCTACTAATCTTCGGCAATTAAACAGAAACTCATTCTCTACCACTGCGTCTTTAGACCAGTATTTAGAATCTCAAACACAAACTTCGAAAGATGACCAAAAACCTGTGTCTCCTTTAAATAAAGATAAGCAGTCACATGACGACACAAAGTTCCAACCAAATCGACAAAATTCTGGTCATTCATTTACGCCTATAAAATGCGCAAAATTGAAACACGACGAAACGTATCTTGACGGTTCTCACAATAACTTAGACTGTGTAAGTGAAGTAAGTCTTTTTGTTCAAGTTAGAGAAAACAAAAATTCCGATCGTTACATTTTGAAAAAAGAGCAGATCACTAGATCTGCTCATCAAGAATCTAAGCAAATATCCGTCAGTACCCAGGTAGCTGAAGAAAATATTAAAAGATTAGACAAATTAATAGCGGATCCAGAAGTATCCCCACGACCGGTTTATAATGAAAGTAAGCAAATGAACAATAATCGCTATACATGGGGCAGATCATTGTCTTCCAATAATTCAATATCCGGAGAATCTCATATAATCTCAAACCCATCTAACACTTTTTATGAAAGAAATGGCACACGTTCAAGTGGAGACACTAGTACAACAGCCGACAGTTTCTATAGAATATATGCTTCTTTAGATAATACAGATTATAATGAAACCGATAAGAAAGAAATAATTTCGGACATTATCAAAGTCTTCAGTGAATCCCATGAGATTTCCAAGGAAGCAATAACTTTTAAAAATGCAGAAACTGCTAATCATGCAATATCTGAGCCAAAAACAGATGGAAAGACTGACGTGGCTAGTTTGCTGCCAAGTCCAAATGTTAGTGAAACTAAAATGATGACTTTGAAATTTTATCCGCAAGGAGTTCTCTTAAATGTTGATTTAAACCACATAAATGAACTTCCGCCAAAAATTTTGTATGAGGTGGATAAAATGCTTAAAAAGTACATGTCAAATGGAGACATAGATTTAGCTGTTTTAGAAAGACAGCTAAATACAACTATGCTGAATGCAAGTGAAACTGATTTCGAAAATCCTGCAAATCGTAATCTGTCGCAGATAGACCACATGTTAGATATAATAGAAAATTTGCTTAAGTCTAGCGATGAAAGCGAAAATAATTATGAACCATCAACTACAAATGCTCCAAATGATTTTCCAGACCTTGGACTTATTGTTACAGATAACTTTTCAAATTTAAATAAAAATGCACCAGAATATGAAAATATTAATACTAGTGCGATAGTTCACGCGACAGACCACCAACTGTCAAGTGAATTACATGTGGACAAACCCGCACACACGAATGATTTACCTAATGTTACACAGCAGAACAGTCATACTGCAGAGAAAATTCAAATCCACATTTCTGAAAATGAAAGACCTTTTGTACGAAGACGATTATTCAGGAAATACAGATATCCTAGCATTCGAGAACAATTGCAAAGGCAAAACTATAAGCAACATCATTATAATGGCAGTAAACACCTATCTTCAGCAAATCGGGAGAATCCTGAAGCAAAAAGAATAGTTGACTATAAATCAAATCGCCATAGGTATCCTTCATTAACAGAACAACTTAATAGGCAAAACGTTCACCACAACAATTCTACTTTCACAGATAGACATGTCTTAGAGGAAAAAGAGTTCCAGGATGAAAGAAAAGATGGGCCGTTACCAAACAACTTCGAATTCGGAACGAGACTGAGGACAACGGAATATGACGATAGTTTTCAACATCAAGTACATAATCGTTATTGGATACCTCAATATTCAAACGAATTCCCTGATCGTAACTTACGGCAAGCAAGTATGGAAAATACAAATAGCCCAGAATTAATTGTTCCCTTTCATCCAAACTACAAAGTAGATTTTGATGACGATAAGGATTCCAAAATTCAAAGCAGAATACCTTTGCAAGAATATGGTTATATATTAGACAATAATGGCACAACTAATCGTCAAAATTCTTTGGATTATTCAAGATTTAGATATGCACTACCTTTGCCTTTATATCTTCCAACAGAAAATCCAGTCATAACGCTAAAAGACACGAAATCCTTAGTTACAAATTCTTTCTACTCTGAGAATGACAGTTTCTTTGTTACTGAGCAGTTTGATCTTCATACACAAAAAACATCTGTTAACACAGAACAGCCAAGACGAAAACGCAAATTAAGGGTCTTAGTACGAAAATCTAACGTTAATGACAATCACAATGTTCCTGCTCAAAATCGGGATGATACGATAGCACCAACAAATCATAAACTACCTGAAAGATTTTCAGACAATGTTCTTAAAATCCTAAGAACTCGACTATCTAAGAAATTGAACGTTGATTCTGAAAGAGATGTTAAAATACAGATTCAGTTTGAAGATCACGTATGGAACATTCCATTCGTAAATAATCAAAGTGAATTTTCAATACCACCAATTATTTGCACAAGGTCTGGTTTGTTCCAGCACCCAAAAGACTGTAATATGTTTTATGAATGTTTCTGGGACAAATGGGTACAAAAATACACACTTCATGTATTTTCGTGTCCTGTTAGATTAGTGTATGATGACAGAATCCGAGGGTGCAGTAGACCAAATGCAGAGTCACGCTGCAATAACATTGTTAAGCGATGATATTTGTGTGCCCGTTATCGAATGTGTAATGTGCCAATAAACTGATTTCTGCAAAAGCCAGAAGGACGCAGTTTGATAACCACGAGTGAAGAAACTTCAGCAACTTATAATCACCCTCCCTTAAATGAATTATAAAACATTTAAGAATTGCTGAAACAAATTTGTATCTATGATAAGCATTTGCTGTAAAAGGACGAAAGATACACTACAGTGAGAAAAAAAAAAAAAAAAAAAATCAGTCAAAATATTCAGAATAGTTTCCGCTAGAACTCATCAAAAGCCATTCATTTCAGCAGTAATACTTATTATAGAATTAAAAGATGTATATTTAGTAATGTAAATAACTGAACATTTTAAGGAGATCCATGAAAATATCTGTGCATATGTTAAGCACAAACCTGAAATATAAATAAATAAAATAAAATAAAAAATATCTTAATATTCTGGCATTTATTTATTAATTTACGCACAACCTGTTTCACAACTTCCAAATATTTCTTAAGCTGTACAGAACTTATCTACCTCAATGTTAAATTCTGGATCTGTGTAGACCGGCAATTTACCGTCCCGTCTTCACTCTTCCGATATAAATAATTACGAACTCAAAAGGAGGTTTAAAATAAAGTTTTTTATTAGGACTGCAACTTACATGCTTTGTGTAATTAACAAAAGAATTCACCGCTTCTTACAGGATTCGACAGAAAATAAAAGTCAAGGTAAAGCAATTAAGGTGTATACATTCACATGGTAAAGTCCTACTATAAGCTTTGGCTCAGGCCCTCTAATTCCGCAAGCAAAACATGGGTATTTTCTTTTACCAAGCCATGGGAACGAATTGGCAAGCTGTCGAATCCTCTAATAATCGGTCTAATCCTCCAAGTTGCTAAAACTCTCCAATTCCCTCTATGCGGTGAAGAGGGAATACGCTGTGATTATATGGTAGGGAGAGTCGCCACGACCTTGAAGTCCCTATTTTAAAGTAACAGACTATAGAAGAAACTAAAGCTGATTCAGGTAAAGCTAATAGCTGAGCGAAAATACTTTGAAGGTTGTCAGCTGTCGTTGCCAAAAGCTCTCTCTTAACTTCAAGAACTCCATTCTTATACAGAGTGTTTCCGAATTTTTAAAAAAATTTCTAATTTCAGATTACAAAGATAACTGTAGACAGAACAAGCAAAATTTAAAAAAAAAAAAAAAAAGTCTACAGTATAATCTACAAGTCTATTTTGTGTCTCACCTCCCAGTAGCTCTCCAAGAGTGATCCAGCATTAGCGCAGGGCAATGACTCAGATGTGAGGCATCCATTTCCTCATGAAGGTTACATAATTTAAAAACTGGGTTTGGGATAATTTCTTTCTGGGCGATAAACGAGTGTCAAAAATGCTGTTAATCTGCACTTCATGACAGTTCCTTCCGGTAACGTCTTTCCAGAAAGCTTCCAAGTAGTAATTTTTTATTACTCTTTTGGCAGTGTAAAAAAAAATGTGATTGGCAGTTATGTGGAGAATATTGGCCTTTTTACTTGCCAAGAACTCGGCATTTATCATTTGCATGAAGAGCACAGTTACAGTTTTGTGTATCCATAGCACGGAAACCCCTTTGCCCTCCTCAGTTAAATTGTTTAGAAACTGTTGACATTTTAAAACATCAACAGACATCGGTGATTCAAAAGAAGAAATAGCTAGAACGGCAGTTTTAGAATCAGAGAGTATAACAGCTTTTATAAAATGTTCAAGTTGACATTGGAGTTGGAATAAGGCTATGTGTATGGCTGTGATCTCAGCATCAAAAGCAGTCCTATTACTTCCAACAGAATTGTAAAAGGAAAAAAGCTTGCAAAAGACGCCAACGCCTGCATTAATACTGTCAGCGAACACAGAGCCAACCGTGAGCACATGTAGCTCTTAGAATATAAAGCATTGATGGTTTCCAAAGACATAGATTCCTTTTTTGAGGATTTAATTAACACGTAGTCAAATTAATTCAGACTATGTATTTTTTTATATCAGTTGGACATTGTAGTTTCCATCTAATGCCTATCTGATCTTTTGACAAAAAAGACTGCCTGAAGAAAACCATTCGAAGTTTTTCCTCCGTAAGTAAAAGGCAATAGCTCCACAGCAAAAACCAATCTGGTTCCCTTAATTTTTTCCCATGGGATTAGTGGTCCGTCTTCCACAATGGATTTAATGCACATATATTATATAAAAGGTGCATCAACTGGGGTGGTTTTAATTGCACCAGTGATAAGTCGGAGAACGTGGTTCTGAAATCTTTCGAGTGAATCGATCACTTGGTTAGATGCTGCCACCATGGGCTCGCAACAGTGAGTAATAAGAGGTAGACTATAGGAGCTGAATGTTAAATCAAACTGTGGTTCTAGAACAACCCCATTTAGATCCAGCAGTTCCTTTCATTAAGGTTAGCCTCTTAGTAACACATTCTAAAATCGGTTCAACATGCTCTTCCCAAGTCAGTTTTCGGTCAAAAACAACACCCAAGTATCGAAAGCTGTCGGTTTCCTGTACAGGTGAACCCTGATATGAAAGGTCTAATTGCAAAGGCTGGTGAGTAAATGTGAGTCCTTCTGTGATTCATAGACTTTGGTGGCAATTTCAAACCACAGATTCGGCATCTAGGAGGTTCAGCCAAGGACGACCAACTGCTACGGCAAGCGTCGATGACCGATATTTGACATTATGTGCACGTAGGATTAACCGCTACTCCAATTCATCTTAGATCCTCCCTTGCTGCAGCCACCGGAAGGTTCGTGTCAATGTCAACTGTGCGCAGAAAGCTTCACGAAGGTCGTCTGTATGCGAGGCGACCAGCCATTTGTGTGCCGCTCACGTCACGCCATAGGAGGCACCGTTTTCAGTAAGCACGACAACATGTCCACTGGATGATGCCTGATCAATGGAGGGTGGTTCTCTTTACGGATGAGTCCAGGTTTAGCCTAGAAAGAGATAGTAGGCGTTATTTGATATGGAGAGAACCTAGAACCCGTTATCCTTCAAACATCCATGAAAGAGATGCATACGGAAGGGCAGTGTCTGTGTTTGGGGTGGCATCTCTTTCGACGCACAGACCTCTATGTCTTTCCAAGGGGAACCGTGAATGCTCAGATTTATAGAGATGACACCCTTGATGTTTATGTGTGCCCATACGCCGGGGCAATAGGTGATGCTTTCCTGTTACAGGACGACAACACAAGATCACGCAGGGCTTGCATCGTAGATGATCATCTTCAACAGGAAACAATTATGCACATGGAGTGGCCAGCTCGATCCCCGGACTTGAATCCTATCGAGCACGTTTGGGATGCTTTAGGGAGACGTCCAGCTGCTCTCAATCTGCCTCCTCAGACTCTTGTCGCACTTGCAACTTGTTCCATAGGAAGCAAGAGCAATGGCTCTTGCTTCCTATGGAACAGATATGCCGCATAATTGAGAGCATCACACTTGCTGTATGTGATGTTTTCCTTCTAGAGGCGATCATATTCCACATTGAAGGTACTTTTCCTATAGCAAACTGACACCTTCGATTTGTTCATTTTATACATGTGCTAATTTCTATACTACCATATTTGTCTGGTAATTTCTTTTTATGTTATTTGATACCTTACTATGTGTTGTATATTGTGGGTAAGTTTTTTTAAATTCTACGTGTAACTTTTTCAATAATCGTGATTTTTCCTTAATTTATGATATGTATATATCACTATAAAAAAATGCAACAGTTGAGGCAAACTTTAAATCTTAAAACTATGGTTAATAAGGCAAGACTAATTAAATAATTTATCATAAATTATACCCCTCGGTTGCATCATATATTTATAGAAATTAAATGAATTGGTAATAAAGTGCATTGTGCATTTGTTGCATACTTTCTGTCTTGTTTATATGAAAGTAAAGAGATTTGAATTTTCAGTCTAATTGCTAGATGGGAATGAAAAAAGATTGCATCTGCATCATACAGATTCTAGATAATAGAATAAAAATATGTTTTAAATCAAAGCACCTGTCTAAGTAGGCACAAAAGACGAACATAAACATTCATATCACATATCTTAAATGATTGCACATAGGTTATTTTTTACGTTAAGTCCATTTGTGAAAAATTTTGTGTTAAGGAGAGAATGTGTGTAAGCATGGGCTTCTTGCCAGTTTGTTTTATTCTTTGGGCACAGCTGATGCCATTTTCATTCACCACATCAGACTGTATGCTTGGTACTTACGATTAAAACGTTTCAGAAAATCGAGAACACCACCAACTATGAAATACTATAAGTCACCATGCTTTTAACAGCAAGAATCATGAAAGCTGCAGATTTCCATTACCAGATAAGTGAAGTGCACAGTAACAATGCAATACATGAGAAAATGTATGAAACTGATCAAGGAAAATTTTTAGCTTCTTGTTTTTATTGCAAAATGGATCTTACTTAAAAAATAACCCTAGTAGCCAGACTCTTAAATTATTTAGCTTCAAAGAACAAATAGAGGAAAACTCATCTGTCAAATGTAAAATCATACTGCAGAAACAGTTTCTGGCATTTAATATTAATAATTAATGAGACAAAAACTTTCCACCAGATTGGGGGAAATGCCAGTTTTTTTGGTTTAATATGATTAATATGACAGAATGAGAATTAATGAAGCAGTGAATTACATTTCATTGAGAATACTTAAAAATATAGAAATCTTTGAACTGAGTTTTAGATTCTGTAAGTTTATCTGTTGCCAACAAACACTTAAGAAGTGTAATTAAACACAGTTTATTTGAACTATTGGGTACAAATTATTTCAGATGACTCACGAGAGATATTTTTGGCGATTACATGTAAAAATAAATATGCCTACTATAATTAAGAAAAGTATGCATTAAAATAAATGTTATTCTTTATTGCACACAGCTTGAAAGCTATCATGTTAAGCTCCATTTGTTTAGCAATGTTAAAAATGGCCTCTTTTAGACAGATTTCACTCTTCACTATTTTTGGACACAGTACACTGAAATCATTTTTGATTTTACGTATTGTAATATATCTTTAGAGGAATAAGGGGGAAAGCAAAAATTGGAAATGCCTGGTTTTCGAATTGAATATTTCAATGCTATTTTCTCTACCACTTCCAACCACATGAAGATCGATTAACTTCATATTTACAGTTTTAGAATACTTTTTCCCTCAAACATTACAAACAATTAAATAATTGAATTTACTGAATTAAATTTGATTTGAATTAAATTGAATTTAATTTTAGTGCAAAGAGATACTTAACTAATCAGATATCAATTTTGTATTCTGCTGTAAAATACTAAGGGGAAAAACATAAAAATTGGTATAAAAAACTAAAAAACTTAAAATTTAATAACCAATGTCTGTTCTTTCCACGGTTCACTCTCCCTAATTAAAATGCTCTTCTTAATTTGCTATGAGTAAAGAAAGCAATTTAAATAATTATAATTATTCCTTAAACTATTTATCAGACCAGGCAAAAATAAAAGATTAAAATTCATTAAAATAATATAAATGAAATTAGTGATTATGTGGAAAACTTAATTTTTCACTTCATAAAAGAGAAAAAATGCAAAAATTCAAAATTAAATAAATATGGAACAAGACAAGAAAGGCCTTAAAAATTACATATGAATTAATATTACACTGGTGAAATAAATTAAGAGAATTTGCATATTATATCGAATTTTATGAAAAACTTAAGGAAAAACCACTGCTTCTAGATAAACATGCAAATCTTGTACGGCAAATATATAAGCATAGACGTGTGTGTAGCCAGCAGAAAAACAGGCTTTATAAGTGTGTGGAGGGTAACACGAATTGTGTTCACTAGCACACCTCGGGAATTTCTTGGTGTTATCTTGCAGCAATCGGTTAAATTTACATCAGTAAAAACGAGTAACCACCAATGTTTAGATGATAAAATGAGGTGGCGAATTGTAGGGAGGCTAGAGGCAGGCCAAACGCAAGTCCAGATATGCAGAGAGTTTAATTTAACGCCCAGCTTCGTATGTAACCTATGAAAATAGTTCCAGGATATTGGAATCCATTGAGAGAACGCTGGAGCAAGGTCGTCCAAGAGTTAAACAGCCAGAGGTGACTGTTTCCAAAAGACTGAATGAGAGAGGGTTGTTTGGCAGAAGACCGGCTGTTTGCGTCCCACTCATGTCTACGGACAGGAGAGTCCGATTAGCATGGTGCAGGCAGCATAGTAATTGGAGTATGGATCAATGGGTGACCGTTCTGTTCACCGACATGTCCCGTTTTAGCCTAAAGACTGACTCTCACCATATTTCATATGGAGATAGCCAGGGACCTGCTGTCTACCCTCTAGTGTCCGCAAAATAAACAATTATGGCGGTGGCGGTGTAATGGTCTGGGCAGGCATCATGTTGGATGGCCGCACATCTCTTCACGTCTTTGACAGAGGCTCTGTGACTGGTGTGATGTATAGGGATGAGGTCTTGGAGCCCTATGTTTGCCTTTTCCGGGGTGCAGTGGGCCTCGAGTTCATCTTACAGGACAATAACGCGAGGCCACATAGAGCTCTTCTGGTTGACGAATTTCTCGATAGTGGGGATATTTGCCAGATGGATTGGCCAGCCAGGTCCCCAGACCTCAACCCTATAGGGCATGTCTGGGACACTCTGGGAAGGGCAATTGCAACTCGCAACCCCCCTCCTTCTAGAACCATCCAGGAACTGAAAACAATGTTGCTGAATGAGTAGGACCAATTGCAACAGGCACTCATAAACTGCCTTATTTCCAATATGACATCACGCTGCGAGGCTTGTAAGAGGGGACCATACCCTCTATTAACCCATTTCTTTTGTGTCTTCTGCAACCACTGTTTCAGATCTTCAGACTCCCATGAGTGTTACACATGAACATGTGTGTCTATTATAACTGCTGAATGTTTATTTTGTTTGTATTATATCAACCTATGTTCACACCAAATTTTATTAAAATCTGTGAAGTAGTTCTGGAGATCAGAGATCAAATATGAAAATTCTCTTAATTTATTTCACCAGTGTGCATAACATGTGATTTAGTATAAACTTCTAAAATAGCAATAATCCTCATGGCCTTAAAAACTGCCAGTTATTGCGAGCTGTTACCATTTCACACAACATAAGAATGCATCTCTGCATGTATTACACTGGCATCATAAGCCAATCTGCATGTTCTGCTACATTGTTAAATTTATTATGCCTATGATTAAAATGTGTTAAATACATAAAAGTAGACAATGTTTCATTTTTCCCTTACCTGTTTCATAATTATTATTTAATTTATCATAATTTTTATTATTCATTGTTATTTAATTAATTGAGTTATAATTGTTTTTAATTATTAAAATAAGAAATACGAACTAACTTGAACCAAACAAATATTGATAACCACCCAGTTTATGAATTACCAGTCAAACTGTTAATAACAAGTTTTTACTTTCAATACTCTTTTTATTTGTTTGCAGGCCCACCAGTAAAGTTGCTGAACACTAGTAGTTCAATCCAGGGTTCAAATACCAGCAAACGGGCTGGCTGCATGGGTGTTTTAATGGTTTTCCCCATGTGCAACGTGTATACAAGCCAGTTCCTCAGACTGTCCTCCATAAAGGCACCCCACCCCTTTGGCAGATAGGCCTCAGTTGCTTTTCGATAATTAAATAAACCAAACATTTTCTTTGTCTACCTTTTTAATGACTTAACATATTCTGAAAATACAGATTACATTAATTTTAATAATGATAAAATGAATTTAGAAAGAAAGAATTAAACATTATCAATCTGAAGAAACTATAACCTTTAAAATATTGACATTTATATCAACAAGTAGGCTAGTAAGAACATTCTTTAATCACAGAACTGACTACTACAGAAAATGTAAAATTGCAACATTTTTAATCACAAAAATGGTAAAGATGAAACACTTATTTCGAATAAATAAAATTTACAAATTCATTGAATTTTCTGTGCATTTATAAAATCAATTCATATTTGGTCCAAAGTTCTTATCTGAAGATATTTCAGAAGTTTGGATGTCAATTCACTTATATGTATCTGCTCCTAGAAAAAGAATAAAGATTTTTCTAGTAATTTATATACATAAAAATAAATTCTTATTAATAAAGTACAAATCAGTATTTTTGAGTATATAATAAATATACAATATTTATTACAAAAATTTACTTCCTGTTGCAGTCCTGTCCTAAGGGGAAACTGCACACAGTGGATGAAACCGCACAAAGATCCCAAGAGAGAAGTGATCACTTCACTTAAGAGAAGGGGGAGGGGGGCAAATGTATAAACTCCTTATTTTCTAAACACCCAAAACTCCTATTTCAAAAAGCATTCTGAATCTTAAAAATGCTTCAAAATTTGACTGTATACTTACAAACTATAGAACAGAAAAATCATTTTCACATCCAAGTCAGCCAAAACACCTGGGCATTCAAACATCGACAGGTGGCCTGAAAACCAGAGTGCATTTTCACCTGGTCCCTATCATTTTAGTATATGGCTCATTGCTTTCAGAAGTTGTTAAATGGCATGCCAAACATTCTCTTGAAGTGACTATAAAGCAGTCATGTTATTGAATCCACCTCCACTCTCTTTTTTTTAGCATCAATGTTTAGCTATTGATGCTCATAGTTGCAGTCCTGTCCTAAGGGGAAACTGCACACAGTGGATGAAACCGCACAAAGATCCCAAGAGAGAAGTGATCGCTTCACTTAAGAGAAGGGGGGAGAGGGGGGCAAATGCGTAAACTCCTTATTTTCTAAACACCCAAAACTCCTATTTCAAAAAGCATTCTGAATCTTAAAAATGCATCAAAATTTGACTGTATACTTACAAACTGTCCTAAGGGGAAACTGCACACAGTGGATGAAACCACACAAAGATCCCAAGAGAGAAGTGATCACTTCACTTAAGAGATTACTGTTAATGCTATAGCATTCTACTTGACATGGGAGAAGGAAATCCATTTAAACAAAAATTCATAGTATAAACAGACATTTAACATATTTGAAAGAAACATGATTTTTAGCTTCTATCAATGCAAAAGAGTTAAATACCTTTCTGAGTTTAGAACACGGCAGTAAAATTTAAATTCTTATTAATTTTGCATGTTAATTAGTAACTAGCATACATCAAATGGGGAAATAAATCCTACTTTGTCAAATATTTCAGAAGTCATCTCTCTAAAATTACATGCAGATGACAAGCCTTTTACATGATGTCCAATCACAGAAATTACCTATGTAATTCACCCTCGTTGCAAACACTGATGGCATTTATATATGGCATAAATTTACGTGCAAGTTTATTTTCAGTCTCAAAAGAAAAATAGAGAACATTCAATACAAATAATTCATGGGACTAATGTTAGATACTTTTAATGGAATTTTAGATAAACTGAAATTAGAAAATAGAAATTTCTCTGCATTCAAGAAAGTTTGCAGATTCGCATTTATTATTAGAGTCAAGCTTTTCACTTTTTTTCTTGGACATATTACAGTTTCGATACAAATAAGTGATATCACATTTTTTGGAAAATATTCAGTTCGGACAAAAAAAAAAAAAAAAAAAAAAAAAATTGTTTCTTTTGTATGTTGGTTTCTGTAACCTGCAACTGTGTTTTTTATTGAAATAAACTAAGAAATCACTTTTTCCTTTATATGGTATTCATATGATTTTTTTAATGTAATTTATAAAATCATTCAGTTCAAGCAATAAAAAATATCCATGCTAAATTGTGCCAACATTTTCTGTTTTTACTTAAATGTATCTATTTTATGCAATTTTATCAATTTTTGTAATCAGCTGACTGATTAAGGCAGCTCTTGCTTTAGGAAAACATATATATATATATATAAATATATCTTATCTATTAATTTAATATTTTATTGCTTTCATTATAGCATCTTTATAAAGTTTCATAAATATTTTATTCTGATTATTTTACTAATATCTACTCTTTATCACTTGTATATGAAAAGATTTAAATGCATTCTAATACTAGGTTATTTTTCTTTAATTTTCCATAATGGGTGAGTTTATGAGGAAATTTACTAAAGCTCTGCTATTGGAGTTAGCGGAGGAGTTTAAAACAAATGTGTCTCAGGCAAATAGAGTAAGAGATATTAGGCAGGCTATTCTAAATGCCGAGGACTAATACGCGGCAAGAATTTGGGCTGCGGCTGAGCAGAGAAAAGCAGAAGAAATAGCCGAACAAGAGAGAGCAGAACGGAACGTGAACAAGAGAGAGCAGAGCGTGAACGTGAACAAGAGAGAGCGGAACGGGAGCGAGTTTTGGAATTGGAAAGGTTAAAACTGATGAATGTGGATCAGACTAATAGACTAGCATCCACGGTTTCGAAATTTGAATAATCTAGAGAAAAAAAGGTTAATTTGAAAGATTTAGTACCGTGTTTTAAACCGAGTAATATAGATACTTCATTATTCTTTAAGCTATTTGAGAAACAAGCTCAAAAAGAGAATGTTAATGAGATTGATTGGGTCTCACAATTAATTCCTTTATTACCTTACGATGTAGCCCAGTTAATAGTGAAAGAACCAGCGGATAAAGGGGATGATTATCAGCATGTTAAGAAATTACTCATGCAGAGATTCAAGCTTAGTTCTTGGGCACTAAAAACAAAATTTGAAGAACATTCTAGAAAAAATGGAATGTTATGGGTGGATTTAGTGTATGAATTGAGAGTGTATTTAGAGAATTGGTTGCATTCAGTAGAAGTTCAAGATTTTGAAAGTCTTAAGGAACTTATGCTTACTGAGCAAATTAAGTGGCGAGTCCCTCTAGAAATAAGAGAGCACTACTTAGACAATTGGGAAGAATTTAAAACAGCTTCCATTTTAGCAGAGAAATGCGACAAGTATGAGGTTTTGCGAAGAGATACGAGGAAGTTAGAACAGAGAGTGCGGTTAAAGAAACCATTTGAGAAAGATAGAGAGTGGTATATAAATTCTAAGTGTAGTTATAATCAGAAAAGTAGTGGTCATCAAAGAATTAAATCAGAGAAGCATAGAAAAGTGAAGGCTCCTAAAAAAAGTAAGTTTTCAATGAAGCAGGTTTCGAGAAACAGCGGAAAATAAGGTGTCACCAATGTGGAAAGGACGGACATATCCGACCTAACTGTCCATCGCTGGAAAAGAATAAGGCTAATCTGGTGAATAATCTAGGAACGGAGAGTTTAGGAAAATGTTTTAAGCCATATTTCAAGAAAGCAGTAATTAATGGGATAGAGAGAGAATATCTGAGAGATACTGGAGCTGTTATAGATCTGTGTAATAGTACTTGGATTAATACTAGTGACTTATTAGGGGAAACTGTATGGGTGAAATGGCCTTTGGACACAGAATGTAAATGTTTACCTTTGGCGAAAGTCACCATTGAAGGTGATTTTGGTGTGGTCACCACAAAGGCAGCGGTTACCCCGGTAGAGTTAGATAAAGAGTACTATTTGTTAACGAATAAAACTGCACAGTTGATTGAGGAAATTAGGGAACGACCGGTTCTCTTAAATGCTGTGGAGACTCGTAGTCAGGCGCATGCGCACAGGAGTTTAGAGAGAGTGAGTGCAAAAGACTTAGATTCCAGATCGGAAGAAAAGAAAGATATAGAAAGTGAAAGAGCCATCAATAATGAGCATTTGGAAGAAAGGAAGTTAACCAGTAATACGGAGGAGGCAATTAAAATTGCAGACATCAGTTTAGAAGAAAGGTCTATCCTTGCGGATGTTTCGCCAGCAGAATTTTTGGAAGCACAAGCAACAGAAACTCATGATAATATTCAACACCAAACAAAATTTATTATATCGCAGAATTCGATATTCGAAAAACCCACTTCCATCAAGACGTTTTCTTCTGAGAAATTGCTTCCAAATAACCTTGCTGTAAAAATGATGTTCAATTATAATGCTGAATCAAATGCATATGCTATATGGCATGCAGTGTATAAGGAGACATTACCAGCCAGTGGTGAGTTTTCTTTGGATGAACTGACAAATCATAAAGTCAGGAAAAAGAAATTGGGACCTCATCCAAATATAGTTGTAAATGTTGAAGAGTGTCCTATCTCAGTGATTGATTATTCGAGATCAGATCTAGGACAGCAGGAACTTTAGCATATGAAGTATATGGAGGAGCCAATCCTTTTTGTTCTGTAAACTGTTGTTTGAAAAATGATTTTTGTAGCGTTTTGGAATTATATTTTTGCAGATTTTAAATTGTTTGCACGTTAGTTGTGTTTCATTTTCAAAATGGTTAGAATCAAATGTTTTGTATTAGTATTATAATTTTGTAAACTGAAAAGGTACTTTGTGTAGATTCAAAATTGTTTGCATTGTGTGTTTCATTTTCAAAAAATTGTTAGCATTAAATGTTTTGTCTTAAGTATTAGCATTGTGTAAAATTTGAGGAATATGCTTTGTATAAGGCAGACATTAGGAGTAGTTTAAATTATTTTTGTTGTATTTATGCAGTTATGTTATCTATAAATAAGTACAGGGTAATGTACTGGCTTCTCTATTATCACTTAAATAGTTACCACTTGTATTTTGAAAGCAGTGAAAAGTATTTAGAATTTTTCCTTCCATAGTCAAAAAAAATTCCTTTATGAGGAGAGGAGTTGTGATAAGGTCGCATAAATCTACGATGAATTATTTCAAATTGCAAATTCAGAGTGCAATATATGTGATGAAATCACGGGACTATAATGATTTAATTGTTATTAAAATAATATTAAGTTGTAAAAAAATAGTTGTTATTAAAATAATATTAAATTGCTAGCAATGTTAAAAACACAGGCTCGAGAGCCATGTATGGATCTTGCACAATGGATGTATAGAATTTGATTTTTTAAAAAAGATAGTTTTTTCTCTTCAGAATTGTATGTAGCCATATTTTTAGCATTCAATAAATTTTTTATGCTGTGTTTTGTTATCAACCTGATGTCACAACCCAGAGTTTCATAGCGGTTTCGGCCACTACACCACAGTAGATTATATAATAAGACATGATACAGAACATAAAAGGTAGGTTTTTCTTTTTCTCCCTCCAAAGGACTAAAACTGCACAGAACATCTTAAAAACAAATCAATCAGTTAAATCTTCTTACTTGTACTGTGGTGTCTCTGTTCCTTAGTCCAACTATTCCAGTTTGCAGAACATTATCATTCAAAACAACAGTGTATGGTATACCCATTTCATCAAATCTGTAAATAATGAATATATATTGGTATTATTTTCCATAAATTATATGCACATGAAAAAAAAAAAATGTTTTACATTAGAAACACCAATCAATAAAACAAAATCAGTTTTTCAAAAGAAATAATTAGTTGATTTCTTATGGCCTAACATACTGAGAAAGCATAATGTAAAATACTTTCTATTACACTTGATTTTTATCAAATCTCATTCTACAGTGCATTCAGAAAGTAACTATGCACCTGCATGATTACAAATGGGCATGATTATACGGGTAGACAATTTTTCAACAGATGCAATCCATTTTATGTAACAGTTCGTTAGCATGTTTTATGCAGTTGGTTAATTGCAGTTGCTTTGTCTAAGTCAGGCTGCTCTATAACCTTGAGAAGGGTGATGCATATAGCACATTGTTTGCATTCTCGCCTTTAAATGACTTAATCCAAGTTCAGTATTTCCCTTCAATTGTCAGGGTGATGCTAACTTTGGAACAGCAAATATTCTTTGTTAAATATTTGTTCCGTAATCATGGCTAGTACACACAGACAGTGAAAGAGCAATTTGCCAAATTTCCAGGTGCCCAATTGAAACAATATCAAAGCGCTTATCGAGAGATTTAGGTAGACTGAATCAGTAAATGATTATCTGCAAAGTGAGAGACCATCAGTACTCATTGAAGAAAAACTGCTGGATACATCGGATGCTATAAACACATAGCCCTAGCAAGTCCATTCGAAAATTGGCCCAGCAGGAAAACATCGTTGCGACTGCACATAAGGCCATGCCAAAAAAAAAAAAAAAAAAAAAAAAGGTCTCATCCTATACAAAATAAAAATGGTTCAACAATTAGTCCTCAGTAACACTGGAAAATAAATTCAGGTGTGTGAATTTTTAAACAGTTTTTTGCGGACAATTCTGACAATATATCGAATGATTGTTTTTTACTGATGAGGCATGGTTTCATTTAATCAGGGTACATCCATGCACATAACTCATGCAAGAAGTTAGTTATGGTCAAGTAAAAATCCATACGCACTTCATGAAACTCCACTACATGGCCAAAAATTTGGTGTGTGAATTACAATATCCTAGAAAAGAATAGTAGGCCCAGTATTTTTTTGGAGAACAATCAATTCTGAATGTTATTGTGAAATTATTTACAAGTTCATTGGAGAACTAACAGAAGGTGAAATTAACAATGCCAAATTCAACAAGATGGCACCACCATGCACACAGCTTATAGGTCTATGAAATTAATGTAAGATATTCTCTGAGATCGAATCATTTCAAAGGGTTTGTAGCCACCAGTTAAGCCTTCTGGATTTTTACTACTAGCACCATGCAAAAGCTAATGTTTATTGACAGAACCCCATTTGTTCCAGGAATCGGAAACTGCTATTTGTAACTTCACCAAGAACACTTCACAGGTACAATTTGCCTGTGGTCTTTGAGAACAAGAAAAGTGTGCACACATGTCTGGAGGCTCGTCGTGAACATTTCCAACAGTTACTGTAAGGTAAATGAAAGTTACGTATTACTTTTTCTACTGCATGACAGGTGCATAGTTACTTTCTGAACACACTGTATATTACACAAATTAAAAAAAAAAAATAAATAACTAAAAATAAAAAAATAACAGTCAGTTACCCCAAAATTAGTGACAGTGAAACCATTCACAGTGATCAGTATTTTGGAGACATAATAACTGAACTGAACTCCCCACATAAGAATAAAATCACCTCAAACATGGGTGACTGATTGCTTTAGGGAAGTTTCACTGTATTTGTACATCCAATAGTATTTCTAGAATTAAGGTGAGGGGAAAATATAAATGTTCTTCCTTAAGAGCAAAAGAAAAAACTAAACATTTCATTACAAAATTTATACCAATCGTCAAGCATGCAAAATTTTTTATGCATAAATATAGCTTTTGACAGATCAGTCACTAACAAAACTTAGAAAGGTACCTAAAAATGGTTGAAACACTCTAATGAAAAACCACTCAAATTTTATAATTAATACTTACTTAGGAAAAATTAAATGTAAGCAGAAAACAATTGCACTAACCTAACATAATGAAACTGGGTATCTTCCAAAGGGTTAATATCAAATTTGGGTAAAACAAGAATCCCAGCACATTTTAATTCCTTTGTCAGGTGCTTCCTAATATCATCTAACTGTTTCATAAATTCCATATTATTTCCTTCTAAGGAAAAGCAAACTTTATAAGGAGCTAACTTATAATGTAACTGAAATACCTGAAATTAAAGGGAATATTATGTACTACATTTATTAAAATGAACAAGTTATAAAAATAGACATAATTAAATATGGATGTAAAGTTCCCATTATTAATTTATTATGCTTCAATTAATTAAAAACAAAAGGTTCCACAGCTTAGACTGCAAAAATCACTGAAAAACTTGATAAATGCTCGCAAAAGACCCCACTACAAATCTTACTATTCTATCATTATGAATCTATGTATTTTTTCTTAAAAACTACTACATACAGTGGATGGACAAAAATATGGAAACACCTTGTGAAATGCATGTTTGAAAAGAAAGATTGATTTTAATGAAATATGTAGGTGGCGCTGGCGTTTTTGACTACTGACGCAACCTATACAACTTCGTAAATGTGCTAAACAGTTCAGTTGTTGTCGGAGTACTGTTATGTGAGGTTGTCATTGCATTATGTCAGAGTTAACAGACTTCGAACGTGGGCAAATTGTTGGAGCACGTATGGTAGGTGCTTCCGTAAGCAAGGTAGCCGAGGTATTTAGTGTTTCAAGAGGTACTGTATTGAAGATGTATTCCACATATTTGAAAAGCAGAAAAACATCATCTGCTAAATCACAGCGCGGATGAAAGTGTGTCCTGAGTGATCGTGACAGACGATCATTAAGGGTAATTGTGACGAAAAATAAGAAGACCACAGCTGCAAAAGTTACTGCTGAAATGAATGTTGTGTTACCGAACCCTGTGAGTACCAAAACAATTAGAAGGGAGCTTCATAAACAGGGAATTGCTGGCCGTGCTGCAATTGAGAAGCCACTCATCAGTGATGCTAATGCCCGTAATAGGAAAAGGTGGTGTTTAAGTCTTAGAGCCTGGACTATAGAGGAGTGGAAGCGAGTAATATGGTCTGACGAGTCTTCTTTCACATTGTTTCCCACTTCTGGCTGAGTTTACGTCTAGAGAACGCCATCTCAAGCCTATAATACAGACTGCTTGTTGCCAAGAGTGAAACATGGCGGGGGTTCTGTTATGGTTTGGACAGCCATATCGTGGTTCTCTGCTAGCCCCATGATAACTGTGTCAGGGCACATGACTGCCAAGACTTATGTGAACATTTTGGCCGATCAAGTTCATCCCATGGTACAAACTTTGTTCCCCGATGGTGATGGTGTCTTCCAAGACGACAAAGCCCCTGTTCACACAGCTCACATTGTCCAGGACTGGTTTTCTGAGCATGAGGATGAGTTGTCTCATCACCCCTGGCCACCACAGTCACCAGATCTGAATATTATCGAACCTTTGTGGTCTACATTGGAACGGAAAGTGCGTTCTCGTTATCCACTGCCAACATCGTTATCTGAACTTGCCACCGTTTTGCAGGAAGAATGGTATAATATTCCCTTGGCAAACATACAGGAACTGTATTTATCCATTCCGAGAAGACTGCAAGCTGTTTTGGATGCCAACGGGTTTCCTACACCATATTAAGCAAAGAAACATGTTTTTTAAAGGTGTTTCCATATTTTTGTGCAACCCCCGTATCTCAATGAACAGAGATTTGAAAAATCCTCCACTATAAGTTATGATCCACAGTGTTTACACACAACCAATTAATATGCATTTCTAATCAAATTCTAAAAAACCCTTCCCTTCCTTGTACACAACAATAAACTGTTGACCCACATCCCTCTCCCCAAAAAGAGAAGACGAAATTTACATATATTGTATAAATATTTAATATAATTAATCAAATTTTACATAAAATCTACAGTAATCTAAGTATTAAAAAAATTACATTTTAGACTGGTATGTTTCTCTTCTATACAGACTGCCACTGCAGACAATGCACAATAGAATTTTTACACAAACTAATATGCATTGTACACCCACAAATGAGTTTTAAAAAATTCTTCACTATGGGTCATGAACTACATATATATTCAGTGTGACCAATAAAGAGAAACATTTTAAATAAACAAACTTAATTACTGAAAATACCACATTTTAGTGACAATTCAGTGTGACCAATAAACAGAAACATTTTAAATAAACAAAGGTAATTACTGAAAATACCACATTTTAGTGACAATATCTGACTTGTTAATAAAAATACAAATGAAGTTAGAGAATTATTTTGTAACTTGTTTTACACTTTTCTTTTTATACATTGATGAAAATATTTATTGTATAAGAGAAAACAAAACATCTATCACATCAAATCACATTAACTTTTGACTTAACTGTTACATAAAGAAATTCCTGTTAATTAGAAAATCTTGAAATATTATGGCATTCCTTTAATCATAGCTACAAAACAGACATGATGCTGATTACTGACAAATGATATCAGCTTGTCTGTAACAATGTCTGATGTAGCTATATGTTATGTATATGCAATCTACAATAAAAAGCAAACTAATGTATTTGAAAGCACAGAAATTAAACACTAAATATGGAAAAAATATTTAAAAACATATATTAACACACAAGATATTGGCAAAGCAAAAAAGGCATGGATATTGAAGTCACCTTAGATTCTGATAAAATGACATAAGTTAAAATTTAATAATTAAAAATAAAAGACCAACATGTAAACCAAAGAAAAAAAATCCTGTAAAATGCAAAGCATTGATATGTGCAGTAGTAAAAATAAATATGATTTTGAGTTTACCTCACTCTGTTTGAAAAAGCACAAAATGGCACCAAAAGGTATACTTTAAACTTTTACTCCTTACTACACATAATACTAATATTCTTCATAAAATTACTAACAATAAAAATGAAGCATTTCAAGTTCTCAAGTATTATAAAAATACCATTGAGGTGATATCGCCTTACACAAAAGAAGTTATAAAAATATCCACCTTGCAACAAAGTGGAAGAAAGTTAATTTGTCTTGTCTTTTATTTTAACTAACAAAGAGCTATTTCCCAAAGCCCTGCGAAACAAAAATAAACTCTCTTGATAGCAAACATGTTGTTTGTGCAAAATATGAAGGCAGAGTTGACTAAATTGTGAATGCAAAAAGCATAGTATTTAGTAAAATAGAGTCCGATTTTGAGATTTACACACAAAAAAATATTAAATTTTAAACATAAAATACACAGTGTACATTTTCTCATGCAGATAATGATTAAAAATAACAAATTCCATCCTGAACAGTAATGGTTAATTGAGGCTGACAGCTAGTCCAAAACCAAAGGTGTGGAATTAGCTGTAATTGTGTTGTCTTCCATTCAGTTATCAATTACCCCTTGTGGTACACCTATATAATGTTCTCAGCAATGAGACAGCTTAATGAACGATGAGTTTCAAAAAAATGCTTAATGAGCAAATGTCTAGCATTTGGATTAAAAAAAAAAAAAAAGGTTTTGTAAGCTTTTTTTCAACCTACAAAAGGTGTTTACACATTTTTTTAGGATGACTTTGAGACTGTATAATCAATGTTTAAAATGTAAAGAGTATTTTTTAAAAAATGTTTGGTCTGATAGTTTTCTTTCTGGACTAAAAGTCTGCATTGTGATTTTCCTGATTGAAGGGCTTTCCATAAAATTTCCAGAGTTTATCAATCAGATAGGTTAGCACTCAGAAAGAGCTCTTTTCGAAAGACCAAAGGCACAATACAATAGTTCATATGTGAAATGCCGGAAAACTTTGCACGAACATGTTGAAAATGTGTATGTATATGAAATACCTGTCCCATTATTCATTTTTTCCACAAATATGGTGATACTTTTCAAACTATGACTTGTTGCTCTTTGAGTCATCAGAATAAAGAAATAGAATTTCTTCTATAAATATATCACACATAAAACATTCTCTTAATAATATGCATTTTAACATTTTTTTCTTCTTATTTTTCGTTCCCCATTGTGAGAGAATCTTGCCACAATCATAAACCCTTTAATAAAACTTTCTCTGCATTAACAGAAACAGGTTTATACTTTTTTTTTCTCCTTCATTTTTAAGTAAACCCATGCTTCATCAAGGGTCACACAATATATTTCCACTTATCTCAGGCTAAATAATTTTCATACAGGGTTCCACCAAACTGTTCTACATTGAGCCAAATGAATCATCAAAAGCTGGTAAACATGTTGCTTAGCTCTTTTAAATTGTAAATCTTGGTTTACTACTCTATTTATTATTGCTACAGATGTATTTAAAGAATTTATTTCTACCTCTTCAGGTTTTGAGACTGAATTTGCATTGGGAAAATACTACATTTTAGTGAAAATTCAGTGTAACCAATAAACAGAAACATTTTAAATAAACAAAGTTAATTACTGAAAATACCACATTTTAGTGACAATATCTGACTTGCTAATAAAAATACAAATGAAGTTAGAGAATTATTTTGTAACTTGTTTTACACTTTTCTTTTTATACATTGAAAATATTTATTGTATAAGAGAAAACAAAACATCTATCACATCAAATCACTGATTAACTTTTGACTGAAAAAAACCTGCTACATACTCTTGACTCTTTGAGAAAGGGAAATAATTAATTTCGAAAAATGTTTTTGTGATAATATTTATTTAATTTTTGCTATTGCACTCAAATATTTTATCTTACATATAATATGTAAATCAGAATTAGGGCTTAAATTAGCAGTAGCCGTATATGCAAGATAAAAAATATGTAAATCAAAGTCATAACTTAAATTAGCAGTAGCCACTTAATTCTTCATTTTAATGAGTATTTCCCCTCACTATTCTAAAAAAGCACTTTAAATAACTTTTTCTGGCCTGCATCATTTCTAGATTAATTCATATCATATGACTTTTACATAATGGTGGTGACCTGCTACATACTCTTATTTTACTTAGTTTGAATTACTTATTATTTTACATAATAAGTAATTCAAACCTTAACTTTTCTCTTAAACTAAGCTCCCATATTGAATAACTAAGCATTTTGCTTAAAATTTTGTTGGCAGTTAGAAGCTGGCATGCCACTTTCTTCATATCACAACAATATGAAAAATGTAAATGTTCTAGAACAGGCACGATTAATGTGACAGATATTTTGCAGCCACAAAATCTTTAACTAAAATAAAATTTATATTTAAAATTCTGCTATTATTGCAAACTTCTACTATTGTGTGCTTCAACATCTATCTGGATCATTCCCAAAATAATTATAAAATTCTTAGCAATAATTCAAAATTTTCAACAGAGATTCAAAAATATATTATTTTTCTTAATAAACTTCCCTAAAAAAAATAATTTTTTAAATCTTAAAATTCTTTACTTTATTAAATCAAATTATTAAAGTTCGTATTATTATAAAAAATTCTAATGGCATAAAATTTTAATTTGTTACTTTCATAAAATTTTCCACATCCTGAAAATATAATATGATGCAAAAATTAACATCAGTTTATAATGCAAATGCAATTACAAAAAGGCAGAAGTGAAAATAATTTTCTAGCACACACTTCAAGCACAACTTTCAATACAGGGCAGTGAAAAAGAATCGCATAAGAGCTAAAGGAAGCAGTATAGTAAAATTGCAATTCTGTGACCTCCAAAATATAAAAATCATTTTCACTTTAGAAGCACTATGCTTGATTCTTTTTTAAAGCACTGGTAGGTTAAGGTGTATATTCGCCAATGAACAGCAGAAGAAAAAAAAAAAAAAAAATTGTAGGCACTGCCCAGGTTAGATAAATAAATTTGGAAGACCTGGTTGAATAAACTTTGCACTGGAAGTGCACTTCAGGTATAAATTAAACTGTAATAAATCTGTAAATAATTTGATGAATGGGAGATAGGTGCAATGGATGACAGCAGTTGGTTTTAATATGTCCTTAGAATGATGACTTGACAAGAGCTGGTAGCATCATAGATGTGGAACAGAGAAGAAAAATTAGCAGACGTGGTCATTGACAAGATATAATTTACTTCTGAATATTCTTGAGATACATATTCTCATTCATAGAAGTTTATCAATGACAAAATGGAGTGGTAAATGATGCAGGTTATCAGCAGCAAGGTAAAGTAGAAAAAGGAAGAAGTGCATGCACATTCAAAAAAAATCTGAAAGGGTCAAAATGTATCTTTATCTGATTGGATACAAGTTATCTGCATTGTATGTTTCATAAGTAAGCACAAAACATATTAATTTTGAAAACATGCAGTCCAGTAAAGTTATAAATAATTTCTACTTTTGAACAGAAAAGGTAGATATACAAATAAAAATGAAGAGTTACAGGCTATTGCTAATTTAAGTTACAATTTTGATTTACATACTTTTTTTAATCTTACATGCATATATTATGTTTAACACGTTGACTGCCGTGGAGGTCACCGGTGATGCAACCAACAGTAAAAATAGATAATTAGAGTAAATATAGATACAGATAAATTTTTAAATAATAACCATTGTTACTACAATGTTTTGAAGAGTAACAGATGGCAAAAATTTAAATAATAAATTGGAAAAATGGTCTGCAGCAATGCAGGTGTGACTGGTGACCCTCCACTACGAAAAATCATTACACACGATTACGTAACTCATCTTATCTTCTGCAGACAATATTTCAACATAATATACATCGAATAATAAAAAATTAGGGTTGGCACCATGGGCAAACCACATAAAATGCACATGTTAAAAAATATTCAAATTTGATGCAAAAATTAGCAAGGTAAAAATGAAAAAAAAATTCTGAAAGGCATGACCTATAATTTGCAAAAAAATTCACTGATCTGAATTCTTTGGCTCAAGATGTGATTATTAGCATTCTACTGTATTTTACAAAAAAAAAAAAAAAAAAAAAGTGAATTCAATTACTTAGAATATAATTTTAAGTTTCTATCAAATTCCAATAAGAATTAAGATACTAAAAATACCTCCTAAAACTATTCTAAATAAATGTCAAAGATAAAAATTAAAATGCTGTTGATTTGCTACACAATATTCTACACCTTACACAGTCCTTTTCCTACTTATACACTACTAAGTCCGTAATCCAAACTCGTGAGACGATTTCAGATTAGAGGTTTTTCTGGATTATAGATCATCAATTTAAATCTGGTAAGATGGCATGCAGAAATTATACAATTAAAAATATGAAACCATAATTTATGAAATAAAGAGCAATTATGATCTAAAGGGTATCAAAATTTACAAAAAAAAAAGCTTAATATTTATTTGTTTACTTTATTAAACATTTCTTTCACTGTAAGTTGTTTAAGTTGCTTCGTTTTTTGTGCTAATACTTTCTCTTTAATTCTATAAACAGACATAATTTCTTGTTCAGTTACAAAGTTTCACTGTTCAAGCCCTGTAATTGCTGTGTCGAGAATACCAACTAACTTGTCAATCGAAATTTTTTTGTTTTCAATAACCTCCCTGTCACTTTCTTCACTATCAGAAGCGACACATGCATATCGGAAGCATGCATTAAACGCGCATGCGTAAAGCATACAAAAAAAAAAAAGTTTGTGGCTTTGAGGTCCGGATTATAGATTATTCCAGATAATGGACGTCCAGATTACGGACTTTGTGCTGTATTTTCAATGCAGTTGAATGACACACTCAAGTGACATTTTCCCCAGGAATACAAAGAATGGAATATAGTAATAAACACATTAGTGAAAAAAACACACAGCATGCAGAGAGAATATTACTAAAATAATAAATTACTATAGAAATAGATTAAAAACTGCTCAATATCTTACATTTCTGATCTCCTCTCCTCTCAGTTTTTTGGTATAGGAATTTGCAAGATATGCCAGAACAGCCATATCCAGTTCAGTTTCACATGTCACAATTGATGGCATATCAGCAAAATTCTTGTTCGAGATATGTTTGGAACTATGGCAAGCCCATAAATCCTTGGAAAAGTTATTTTCATACAGAGTTGTTGTCTCTAATAGTTCATTCCCCCAAGGAAATTCCAAATGTATTGACAAATGTTCATTTCCTTCTGGAGTCTTCACAACCTCTGACAGAGAAAACTTTGAAGGTATACTAGAAAACTGAAAAAATAATTTTGATATAAATGAGAGAAGATCAAATTTAATTTATTAATAGTTAAGCATCATTGTTTAAATTAGAGGAAAACAGCAGTAGCTCTATTTAGACGTCTGACAAGACATGACTGTTTGTGAGACCACCTCTACAGAATTGGAATAGTGGATTCCCCAAACTGTGTTTTGTGTGACTTCAACCAGCCTATGATTTTTTTAACATTTAAATAATTTTATTTCACTTTCTCGGTATGAGGACATTGTTAAAAAGTACTGGAGAGCCCATGAACTTTAAGCCTTTAGCCTTAAGTGCTAATGTTTGACATTTGTAAAATAAAGTTGTACCAAAGAGCTTCTAGGATTAAGAAAGAAAGCTTTATCAAAGCAGAAGTGGCTCCATCAGACCGAAGAGGGGAAAATATACACTTAGTTTACTTTACAGGTACTATTCATCCATTATTTTGCACTTGTGTGAAATAGCAGTCACAAAGTCTAGTGTCAAAGGTCACGTTAGTCAATAGTTCAAACTTCTGCAACACCCGTTTTTACTCTGCTGTACTGAAGTAAATCAAATCAGTGATCCGTGCAAGTAGATTAGTTAATGTATTATTTGTTTTGAGTTAAAAAAATACAAATTTATACTATAGCGAAAGGTTTTGTCATAGAACAAATCCTGTAAGTTCTTTGGATTTTGTATCATATTCTTCAATTTCCTGTGCACTTGGTGATTTGGTGATGAGAATTTGTCCCTCCATGATTTAACACACAGTAGTAAACTATTTTACATTATGTGTATGCAAGTTTTCCTTCTTTACATGCACATTCTTTGACTGTGTGCACACAAATGTGTTGACAGTTTTGCTATAATGGTGAATGTGGTATCGTCTTTAGAAGTACTCTGCGATATTTTGTTATTTTTGTTTTATTTCATTTGTTACCTACCATTAACATGTAACTCTCAAAATCAAAGAAGAGAAAAGTAGACCTCCAATATCATGATTTTAAAGCAGAATACTGTGCTAATTATTTTTCACAGAGTTAAACAAAAGTCTTATGTTTAATATGCAATGATATTATTTAGCGATGTGAAAAGAGTACTATATACGTCCTCATTACCAAATTAAGAACATGACACGGTATTCAAACTTTACAGAAAATGAACGAATATTAATATTGGAAAGTTTAAAACAGAATGCGTCATCACAATGCAATTTATCCATAAAAATAAAAAATGATAATGAAGCAGTAACTAAAATCAGCTTATGAACAGCTTATTTATTAGCCACAAAAGGAAAAGCATTTACAAATGGTGAATTAATTAAATCATGTTTGCTTGAGGAGGTTTAAGAAAGATGCTCAGAAAAAATAGATATGCTTCAATCCGTCAGTCTTTTGGCAAGAACAACTAGTTAAAAACTTCACAACATCAGAAGCCACATCATCAGTCCATTACAAGGCAAAAAATTTCAAATGGTTTTTGTTGGCTCTTGATTGAGTCGACAGATATTACCGATACTGCCTAACTGCTGGTGTTTATTCAAGGGGTCAATACTGAATTTGAAATGATTCAAGAATAGTGTATAAGGAACAACTACAGGTGAAGACATCTTCAAGGAAGTCAAGAAAATGCTAACACAATACATGGGATAGGTTAAAATGTGTCACAACTGATGGTGGAAAAATGTGTAGTAAGAGCAAAGGATTAGCTAACAAAATTTAAGGCTTGTAAAAATGCTAAATGTTTTGAACCTATGTAATTCATTATACTATTCACCTGCAAACATTTTGTGGAATATACTTCAATACGTCATGTATTATTGAACAGTCCTATCAGCAATACACTTCATTCACTCTCATGGATTTAACCATCACCAATTTCATGAATTTTTATGACAGATTAAAGCTGAATATCCTGACTTGCCTTTTTAGATATTTGATGGCTCAGGAATGGAAAAGTTTTGTTGAGATTTTTTTAACTGAAAGAGGTCATAGATATTTTTTTTTAATGAAAAAAATTGCCCACAATCTTTATTATCTCACATTGAATGGCTATGGAAATTAGCATTTGCCATAGATGTCGTGGGATATCTCAATGAATTCCATTTAATATTACAAAGGAAAACAGTACTCATATCTGAAATGTATTCTATCATAAAGGCATATCACCAAAAACTTGTATTGTTTGAAACGCAAACAACATTAAGCAAATTTGACCATTTTGCATGCTGCAAAATATTTCATATATTAGCAGAAATCCCCATTAAAAAAAATCGTGCAGGATATATTTTCTGAACTTATACCAGCTACTAGTGTTCTGTAGATCTTGATGCAAGTGCAAAAGGTATTTCCATGTTTCAAAATCCACTTGACTGCACAATCAAGGAGCTTCATTCAGACCTTCAGCTGGAAGTGAGTGATTAGCAAAATGAATACATATATGTTAAAAATGATGTTTAAAAAAAAAGGATGTAACTCAATTTTATAAATATCTTTTGGAAGTACTTACCAATGCAAAAAGACATTTTCGAAAATGAAGTAGGTAAAATCACAATTCATATCATTATTAGCAGATCACTATTAGCAAACCACTTTAATGGTAAAAAGTACTAATTTCAAAATAAAGTATGATGAAATAATATCTCAGGGGGAAAAAATATATTCTTTGCATAAGAAATTTCATCTATTTAATAACATTTTTTAATATTTAAACGTATATATTTTATTCGTTTTGTGGTTAGATTGGGGAAAAAAGTGAATTCTCCCCATGAGATAATTAAGCATTCATATCTTCATGTTTGCTACTGGAATACTAAGCCTAAAATTTTTTAATCAGAATTATGGATTTTATTTACTATTTGTCTACAATTCCTTTCTCCACTTCTATCACGATTCCAGCAACTCTTCTTTTCGTTTAGCTGCTATCTTTATCTTTTTTTGATTGCATGATATTGTATTTAATAATTTACATTATACTAAAATACAAAACACAATAAAATTAAAATGAAAGCAAGAGCTGAGATCTGCAACACTTATCAAAAGACACACAGCAACTCGCAGTCTCTTACCAATATTCCCACCTTGTTATTCTATGATGCTTCAGTTACAAAATTACTTTATACAAAGCTCCTGTGTCACAATCTTCCTCTTCATTTTGGAGTATAATTTGTTAGTGTTTATTTGTTTATATATTGAGGCATTATTTTCCGTTTAAGATATTTTTCACTTGCACAATTTGTTCATGATCCAAAGCTTCTCTGTACTGGCATTTGTACTAAGAGATTTGAACAAGAAAGTACTTATAATTTCCTAGGATTTTGCCTCCAAAAATCCATTGTTGTGCGAGTATCCTTGCTGCTACTGTTCTTATGCCAGATGAATTAACTTTAAATCTTAATGGTTTTACTGGAGCTACTTATTCCTGCAATAAATAGTTGCATTAGATGTAAGAAAAACACTTCTTTCAGGCAATTATGCCAATAAATTGCTGAACTTTCATACATATTAAGTTATTTGTCACACCATTTGACTGAAACCAACTCCTCAGCCTAACAATGAACAGTGTTCTAGAGTCCCTAAACCATGGTCCATCATGGTGGCCCTTCTTTTTACAGTTTTTACACTGCACTTCCAAATGGTTTGGTCATTTACTGCTTCATGTCATGGCCATTTTCACATAGTTATTTGTCAGGTAAAAATTTGGTTTGGTTTATGTGATTCCAGCAAAACCTTGAGGAATATCTGTCTTAGGTGAGGGATGCCTTCATGGAGGACTTTCTAAGAAAAACTGGTTTGTATACATGTTACAAAGAGGAAAAACTGAAAATGGCCATGCAGCCAGCTCGTTCACAAGATTTGAACCTCAGATCAAACTATCAATGTTCAGCGACTTTACCGCTCAGCCATTGGTGGGCTGTCAGGTAAAAGATCTTGTTCTTGAAAAAATTATATGGTATTTATCTCATTGTTTAGTAAATTAAAGATTGTTAAGTACTTGTTTAAAAAAATAAGCAATTTTCAAATTAAACAATTTTTTAAATTATTCAGAAACCATCTATTAGCAAATTCGAATTCGCTGAGCACTTCACATTCATAATAATGTTTCAGTGTTAATAAATGATCCCATTCCTGGTCCATCTTTATCTTCAGCTTTTAAGGAAATTATTTCATAGTTGTTTTCCTTTTTTGGTCAACAGATGACAGCAAGTGTATGTTTCTCTGGTACTTTCTGATTATCTGTAAGCCCACTGAAAATGTACTTATGAAACAAAGCAATATGTAACTAAAATACTTGTGTAGCAACCCACAATGTCGCACAAAAAATGGCAACCGAAGTAAGAAAGCAGCACATGTCTGCTATGGCTGGTGCACAGAGGCAAGGATGGATGCCAAATTTTGCTATTTTCTGACTTTTTTTAGGTGAAAGCAGATTGCTGCGTACGTGGGAAGAATAACATTGAAAAAAAAAAAAAAGGTTTCTCATCAAAGATCCATTATATTTCTGAATATAAGCCAATCTGTGTATAAGCCAAGAGTATGTTATTATTTTCAAAATGAAAGACTCCGCCTAGGGATTAAAATTCACAACTGGAGTTTTAGAGCATGCCCATGAACAAGACCAATGAATGAGTGTGGCATGTTGGGTTGGGTGGGAACAACATGGAGCCAAATAATATGTGTTGCATTTAATTAACTGTGCATGCTGGTTTCAGATACATTTAAGGCTCATTGCACAGATAAAATGAAAGAAAAGTATTGTGAAATGAAAACAAAAATGGCTGTAATATCGGAAGGACTGACATCTATGCCCTAACCACTGGATGTTTGCTTGAACAAGCCATTTAAGAATAGACTTAGATCTAGAAAAAGATGGAGATAAAAGATTAAACCATAACACAAAGCAGATTTTTTTTTTTTTTTTTTTTTTTTTTTTTTTAAGTAGATTTAGTAAATGCATAATGGGTAAAAAATGCAAGGTTGAAGATTCAATCTGAAATTATAATACAAGCTCTTAAATGTGCTGCATTCAGTAACTGTATGAATGGTAGTGAGGACTATTTTGTGCATGAACAGGATATAAACTCTAGTATGAAAAGTATCGGAAAGATGATGATTGCATCAAGACATTCTAATGAAAAAAAAAGATAATTTTACAAACCCTCCAGAAACTTGGATTCTGACACAGACTCTGAAAGATTCATACGGCTTTTTTCTTCTTATTTTATCATAAATGTTGCATTAAAAAACACCATAAGTTAAAAGATAAATCTAATTCTCCTTTTTTACTGTAATTTTTATTTGCTATTATTTACCTTTTTCTGTTATTATTTCTGGTGTACGTTTTGGTACTTTTCTATTAGCTACAGCTAATGCTGTCAAAAATTACTGCACTATTTCATGTTTCTGAATTGTATTGGGCTGTCGGTCACAGACTAATTGGCAGTTATGTCTAGCTTTGGCTTAGGATTTAAAGATAAATAAATTAAAAAATAAATAAAAATAAAAAATTTTCCACAAGTTTTGCCGACAGCAGATTTTTTGTTTCGGTGACGACATATATTTTTCGTTTCGGTGTTTTGGTGATAAATATAAACAGTTTTGAAAGTAAAACAACTCGTTTTCATAAAACAACTTATTTAATTTTGAATTCATTTTTTTTTCATTAAAAAATATAAACTAAAGACATTTTTAAAATGATTCATTTAGAAGTATTTGCCAATTTATCGACTGTGCAAAGCTAACAGAAAAGTACCTAGGCTTTATGTGAAATAAATGGATTTGTATATAAGCTGTCCCTTGTAATTTAGGTTTAGAAAATGTTGCACTAATTCTCGACTTATACACAGAGAAATATAGTAAGTGTTTTATTACTGATGTTTCTTGCAATTTTAATTTTATTGATTGATTGACAGAATTCTTACTGCATAACCATTTCAAAAATGGCTGTTGTCTTTCACATATTAGCTCGGCGAAAAATTAGTCAGCAACAAGTTCACATCTTTTCAGTGAGAGTGCAGATAATCAGAAAATACAAATTCTTTTCTTAAGAGATTTCCTCAAATTTTTCGGTCTGTTGTTATCATGTTAGCATGTGCTTTCCCTTCATCATTTTCACTCTTAGAGTTGATGAAGAAGCTATTTAAGCCTTCAAAAATAATACTGCAAATTTATGCAACTTACACCAATTCTTGTTTCTTTGCTACCTTCAAAATTTATTCTTCAGTGTATTATTTTAGTTAATATAAGCATTATTGTGGGAGAAGAGCTTTTTAGTAGTTTTTTTGTTTTTTGTAACTTATTTCTCCTCAGATAAAAATGCAAGTTTCTGTCATAGTTTTTAAAACTGCTGTCAATTATTTTTGAAAACTAGATTATCAGAAAATGTTTATGCCCTATTTGCATTCTGACAATTAATTTCTGTTATTGATACATCCAATCAACTTAGCAACATTGTTTTTCTAAAACTACTCAGGAGAATTTAAATGGAAAAATTTTATGAAAAAATTTAAATGGAAAATGAATTTTTAATACTACTCTTGATATTTTGACATGTATTTTCATGAAAATTCATGAAAAATATTTTGCAAAAATGATATTTGATAGTTTTTATTAATAATTCATCATAGGATTTTAATTCAAGATAAGGTCTGCTGTATGAAAGTATATATCTAGAAAACTACTCTTAGTCATTTCTTACATTTTCCAATAAAGAATAAAATGCAAAATATGCATACTTATAACCTTGCTGAGCATCACCATCATTGCACAAATAAAGGCAAACTGGTACATGGATGATACTTTTAATCAGCGTAAGACTATATTGCTATAACATCAAACAGAAATTAATGAAAAACATTTTTATCAGAAATGTGCAAAGTATTATTTTAAAGTACAAACAAATCAAAAGCCAAATAAATATGCTGAATTATAAGTTTAAAAAGAATTATAAGTTACAAAAAATACTAAAATTTTAAAATAAAAATAAATCTGTTATAAAGCCCATTACATAAATTTTGCATAACCAGCTACAATTAGAAATACAGTACAAAGTCTGAAATCTGGACTCGTCGGGACTTTGGCGATTCCGGATTAGGGGTTTTTCTGGATTATAGATCATCAATTTAAATGTGGTAAGATGGCATGCAGAAATTCTAAAATTAAAAATATGAAATCACAATTTATGAAATAAAGAACAATTATGATCTAAAGGGTATAAAAATTTGCAAAAAAAAAAAAAAAAAAAAAAAAAAAAAAGCTTAATATTTATTTGTTTACTTTATTAAACATTTCTTTCAATGTAAGTTGTTTAAGTTGCTTCCACATAAAATTCAAAAAGTTCTTTTTTCTTATGTCATATACAGTTGACTTTCCAATGACATACCCACACATAATTTTGAGAAGGATATGCCTTTATCCATTTTTTGCAGCAATTCCACTTTTTGTTTTTAATGGACATCGACACATGATTTCATTTTGTAGATCCTTTGGCAGTTCCAGAATTGGAAACTCTTTCCGACATAATCGAAAATTCAAGCTTAGTTTTTATAAAATTGCTGTAATAATAACAGTCTGCAAAAAATAATAAGCTGGATCAAACTAGAAGATTAGGTAGCAGTGCAATCAACTACATTAATTGAAATGCCTTAGAATCAGTAAAGAAATTTTAGCCTATCTTAATAGCATTCCTTATACATTATTAGCTGTGTATCACAAGATTGGTGACGAAAGCCAAGTTGTTTCACTAAATTTTGTCTTGTTCCTATTGCGTACTGAATTAAGCCTGAATTTTATTAGTTTAGTTATTTACTATACCTACGTTTATTTCTTGCACATGCTTAAAACTAATCTGAGTCCTGAATAAATAAACTCTCACATATACTTAATGCTTTATCTAAGGCCGGCAGTAAATACCGCCTGGTGCAGTCTCTACGGGTCCTAAATTCTGCTACAAAGTGCTTCTTAAGTTCTAAATTTTCACCGCACCTAAACTTTGCATCCCGGTACTTTCCCTTTTGCATCCCAGTGCTTTCCCTAAATCATAAAAAACTTCTCATCTCTTAATTTTGGCGCTCGGTGCTTCCCCACATTCCAAAAATTTTGTCTTCCCTAAATTCTGCCATTAAGTGCAGACATATTCTGCCACCGCTTCTGGGGTTTATGGTGAATAACATATCAGTTATTCTTAATTAAAATAGCACTAAATGTAATCTTTTAATCTATGAGTTTCATTAACAAAATCTATTTTTAGAATATGAAAAGAAATTTTTGTTGAATTTTTCCTCATCAACATTTCTTAGAGCATTTAAAAATTTATAATCATTGCCAATCATAATGTTAGCATAAAGGGTTGCCATATTCTTGTTGTTCAATTACTGATATAAAAAAAAAAGTTTAGACATCACTGCATGAGTTATTACTGAAGCTGTCATGTATCGATAAACATGCATTGATAAAAGCAAAATATAATAAATAATGACTCGCCAGGTCGGCGTCAGGGATATAAAATAGGTGAATGTTTTGGTTTGAGATGTATATCAAGCAGATACTCAACTACCGAGCCAAATTACTAATCTCACAAAGTTATGAAGTTATGCTTACATAAATGTTTTTCCATAATGAGGTACTTTACTTAGTGCATAAGTGAAATTAAGAATTGGAATTTTTAAGTGAAAATCTCCACGTTTTATCATGGAAAGAAAAATCAAATGCACATGCGTAAAGCATATTAAAAAAAAAAGTTTGTGCCTTTGATGTCCGGATTTTAGATCATTCCGGATAATGGAAGTCCGGATTTTGGACTTTGTACTATAGTATTTTCAAAAACTACAAATTAAAACTTTTTTTTAAACAGGTATATTAAAATAGGATAAAAAATGAACACTAAAATAACTTATATTAAAAAGAATAAAATATTAAACATTATTAAAACCTTTCTCCACCATAAGTATCTCTGACGAGACCAGTAGTGAAACCAATGTGTAGCCTTTTTTCGTGGTGTAAAAAATGCTAATGACATACGAGTCCAAGCTTTCAATCCTCTGAATAAAACACATAAGAAATTAAATATATTACCACTGAAAATTGAAATAACTTTAAAAAAACATAAAAATGAGTTAAAAACTAACATTTACGTATGCATTCACATACAGATTATGTGGTTGCAATAGTTTACAGTTAGTCTTAATAAACAAAACAATAACTGTTCTCCTATGAAAATAAATCATACATGCAAAAATGATAAACTGCCTGTGCAACCTAAAATGACCATCACTGATTATGACATTTTATTTATGCAAAACACAAAATTTCCAAAAGCGAAGTTTTTTAAGTGTATGCAAATACAACATCCAAAATAAAATGTAGACATACAAGGGTAAGATGAAAAGTTCTCAGCCTGACCCGGAGATGGTTCTTCAATCAGCAAAAATTTATGTTTTCTGCATGGGTGCATGTGTCATTAGTTTGGATGACAAGTAACTTGTTCTCTCAAGTAGTTTGTTTACACAAATTTTTGCAGTCAACATCTTGCATGTTATTCGTTAAAATGGATAAACTTGAATATTGTGCAGTCATAAAATTCTTCATTCTGAATGAATATCCTCAGGGGTTAATGAAAACCCCTGAGGATATTCATTCAAAGTTGACAAAAGTGAGGAGGCTCTGCTCCTTCCATGTCAACCATTGAAAAGTGGACAGCTAAATTTAAACGTTGTCACAGATCCCTCGAAGATGACCCATGTGAAGGATGGCCAAAAACCTTAACTACACCAGAAGCCATCAAAAAAATGCATGATATTGTGCTGGACGATATGTGAGCGAGATAGCTGAAGCTGTGGGGATATCAGAAAAAAGCATACAAAACATCTTGCACAAAGAATTAGGGATGCCAAAAGCTCAGTGCAAGAAGGGTGTCACATTTGCTGAATAACAATCAAAAGCAAATGCGCAAACGATTTTCAGCACAATCTTTGGATTGATTCAACAGGGATCTGACCGATTGTGTGTGGTAGTTTGTCACTATGGATGAGACATGGGTCCACCACTACATGCCAGAAACAAAAGACCAGTCCAAGAAGTGGGCGGAAGCTGTGTTTCAGCACCAAAGGAAGCGAAGTCGATCGCATCTGCTGAAGGTCATGGCCCGTGTGTTTGGGAGGCAAAAGGGATCCTGTTAATTGATTACCTTGCAAAAGGCAGAACAATTGCAGGCAAATATTACTCGAAACTTCTTGACCAGCTGGGTGCCAAAATTCATGAGAAGAGTTCTGGCTTGAAGAAGAAAAAAAAAAAATCATCTTTCACCAGGACAACACACCTGTGCACAAATGTGCATTGGCAATGAGAAAACTGCAGGATTTGGGGTATGATTTGCTCGGCCACCCCACTCTTTTCCTGATTTGGCACCCTGACTTCCATCTATTCCTAGATCAGAAGAAATTTGTTTCTGGGAAGTGCTTTGCATCCAATGAAGGAGTTGAGAAGGTCATAGATGAACATTTTCACAACCTTCCCGCCTCTTACGTCCAGGAAGGAATACTGATATTGGAGAAATGCTGGACCAAGCGTGTTGAAGTCAAGGGAGATTATGCAGAAAAATAAAATCATTTTTTAATTGAAAGTCGCAGTCTTTCATTGTCAGGCCAAGAACTTTTCATCTTACACTCGTATTTGAAGAACAAATGATTAGTTATGATGGTGTGACTGAATCGTCTTTGTGATCACTAGACTTCAATAGATTTCTTCTTCTGGGATAATATAAATAGTCAAGTATATGCAACATTATCTCCTGTCATGCAACAGTCTAAGATAGCTTTCTTTCCTTGCACCTTCAAAATTGTAAAAAAAAAGTAAATGTACATTGTTGTAGTACTCACCTCTTTCATGGCACAGTCTTTTCCATACCAAGATTCAGAAGTTAGCATATCCAAAGAATATAAAATAATAGTAATACAGTACAAAGTCCGAGATCCAGACTCGTCAGGACTTTAGCAATCCCAGATTTGGGATTATTGCAGATATTAGATCATTGGTTTAAAACTTGTGAGAAGGCATGTAGAAATTATAAAATTAAAAGTATAAAATCATGATTTATGAAATAATGAAGCATTTATAATCCAAAGGGTTACAAAATGTACAGCAAAAAGCTTAATATTTATTAGTTTACTTTATTAAACCTTTCTTTCAATGTAAGTTATTTAAGTTGCTTTTTTTATGCTAATATTTTCTTTTTAATTCTGTAGACAGACATAATTTCTTATTCAGGTATAAAGTTCCATTTTTCAAGTCCTATAATTGCTGTGTCAAGAATTCCGACTAAATTGTCAATCAAAATGTTTTCGTTTTCAATAATATCTCTTGTCACTTTCTTCACTATCGGTAATGGTATTTTCTGGACCTAAAATCATACTACAGACTTGAAAAATGTGCAATGCCCTAGCCGGGATTCAAACCTGGACTTTTCGAATACATGCTGAGTGTGCTAACCATTACACCACTAAGGCATCCACAAAGAAGGGAGAAAATATCTTATATACTCCCTCTTTTAAAGGGTGACTGGGGATTAGGGGACCTATTGCCAAATCCTAGTGGTGAAGAATCATCATCCACCATCTTTCAGTTAGGATGCCACTGTAGAGATATTAGGTTTTTTTGAAGCAGGAGTTCATGAAAAATGAGCAACGCCCTCGCTGGGACTCGAACCTGGACTACTCGAATACGTGCCAAATGAGCTAACCATTACACCACAAAAGCATGCAGAAAGGAGGGAGAAAATACCTTATACATTCTTTGGAGGTAACACTGATAGACTTTTGATCGAGTGCCTTTGTCGTTTATTTTAGATACTGCCTGGCTATCACTTGTCACATAGCCTCAAAGAAATTCTGACTTCTTGCTGCCTGCCTTTGTTGCCATATCAATTCTAGCAGTATAGCAAGCATTGTTGCTTCTGTTTTTCTTTCCATTTTATAAAAACCTCTAATGTGTTCTATCCTCTGTTTCAAAACTGTAATTCATAGAAATGAATGTAAAATGTGCTTTAAAGGATGTGCCAATAACTGCTACAATAAAATACCAAACATTTTTGGCAATAAATCGCCAATTTTGATGGTTACTAAATCTTTGTCTGCCAGAAAACAAACAAATATCTAACTTTATATCTAGACAGGTTATAAAATCTAAATCTGCTTAAAATGATTAATTTTAGTGACTTACCTTACAAAAAATACAGAAAAAGTTCTAGTTTAAAATAAATACAATTTGATGTATTCAATATACATCATGCAACAGCAAAATATAATTAATATCTACACAGAAATCTAAAAATTTATTGGTACATATATTTTAAGATATATTTGATAAAAATAATTATTTTTAATATAAAAAAGTCAATTAAAAGTAGTACAATAAGCATTTGTTTTCTGATTAAAGTGTCAATATAATAATTAATTGAACTGATGTATAACTTAGCTTCTTACCTTAAATTTGTTTTGAGAACTGAATCAGTTGATTCCTTTAAGGAAGAAACTTTCATGGAATTCACACAATGTCCATAAGCAGCAATGCCAAAAGGCAAATTACATCCCACAACAGGAAGAGTATCAATGTATATACCCACAACATCTAGGAGAACAAAATAAAAAAATTAATAAAGATATCATAATATCTACAGAAGTGTGATATGTCAATTTATGAATACCATAATATTATTAATAAAATTACAAAAAGGTTAAACGAAACTGCTGAATGAATAAGCAATCAAAGCAGAATGCTGAATTATTAAATGCAAACACTGTGCTCATCATAAAATATTTACTTAAATTTATTTGTTGCATTATCAGGTAAAAACAATTACATCAATGATATTTAATAATATTTTCGAATCGAACAGTTGCTATTTAAAATTAACTTTCCTTACCATTTTTAAGATTTAAATCAAATTTAAATTTTTAGTTGTTAAAAATAGCACTTATTATCCACGACTCCTAATTTTCATACCATTCAACTTCAAATGCAGGTATGCCAGCATTTTTTAAACATTTTAGTCATAATGAATTATCTATTTTAAAGGTATCTCCTACAGCTATGATTCAAAACTGACACTGCCTTTTTTTTGTCTATGTATGTCAAAACATCTGAATGTCTGAGAATAGTAAATAGTAAAGAATTATCACAACGATGTTATAAAATGCTCTCGAAATTATGTTCTTTTATTGATAAGGTCATTAACTAATACCAAATTATCATAGTATCCTATGATACCAACACAAATCTTTAGTACACAAATTCTTAAAAATAATATTGTTTTGGATCCTCTCCCTAGGCAAGGGAATGTTTCTGCCATTTGCACTTAATTTCTTGAATTGAAATTATTGTAAATAACTGCAGCTTTTTCTTGAAGAATTTTATTACTGACATGCAATTCTTGTGATGGAAACCCCTTACATGAAAGCATAGTGTTTATTTCTATATATAATAATTTTTCTTTTCAGCACTTGTATTAGCATTTTTCAATAACTTTCCTTTCACCATTTCATTCCCTTTTAAAATTTATTGGGGTGGTATTTCTTAGTCTTTTACCAACTTCTTTGTAGACAACTGCCAACATCTTTAACATTTAATTAAATTAATATGTTTTACATTTTCTCTGATAGGTAAGTTAATTAAGCTATTTAAGGTTTATGACTAAAAGTCAGTAAAATTTAAAATAAAAATACCACACATATATATAGATTGAACAATTAACATAAATATGGTGACTGCAATAATGTCAAAATCAGAGCTTGGTACATTCTGGATATCTGTACCCTTATGAAAAGTCATCTCAACAAAAAATAATAAATTACATTAAATAATAATAATTTACATTAATAATAATAAATTACATGAATTTTTTTAAAAAACAAGAATTTTATGCAAAAAAATAAAAACTATGATAAATATTTACATTTTTACAACCAGCGTATACTGAAAATAATAGAGCAAAACAGACTGTAGTGAACTAACAGTTAAATATAAATTCACATGTTCTCATACCTGTACGTGCCATACACATACATATGAGCAAATATTGAAAATAATATAGCAAAACAGACTGAAGTGAACTGACAGTTAAATATAAATTCACATGTTTTCAAACACGTACGTGCCATGCACATGCATACGAGCTGGATATTATAATGCGAACACTTGAAAATACACTAAAAACACAGTTTTCTGAATGTTAAAACAGGGAAAGCAGATAAGCAGAAAACACCAAGAGCTTAACTGTATTGGTAACAAAATTCTTTTTAGTTTGAACAGTAAGTTAGTCAACATGTTATAGAATAATTTTTTTTTAATCAATGGACTCGTCAAATAAGAGAAATAAAGCTGTAAAATTAAGAATAAAAGTCATTAAACAAGGAGTTAAAAGACCAGTGTTTGTTCAAATAACAAAGCAAAATACATGAAGGCTATCTACCTAAGGGAAGGGATGCCTTCATAGAATACTTTCTAAGGAAAACTGGCTTGTATTTATGTCACACAAGGGAGAAAACAACAACAAAAAATAAATAAATAACCATTCAAGCAACCTGTCTTCTGGGCTTCAAACCCAGTTCAAACTACCAGTGTTCAGCAATCTTAACAATACAATTTCAATGACACATTACCTAAGTTTAGATGTCTTAACCACTTGGTCCAGTGGTATACTGTGGTTTTTACTGATGGGAACTAAATATGAAGAAAAATTATAATTCTTTTCTAAGACAATCATGCATGGATGGTGGTCAAAGTAGAGAGGTGAAATTCAGTAATGCTGTTTATTTACGTTCTTGGAGATACTAGACACTTTCAGGGGTTATCTTAAAGAGGTTATATTCAAAACAGGGTTTATTGTACTTTTAATATTAATTTGTAAAGATTAATTATGTAATTTGAACAGCAATGAGTACAGAAATGATTAATATGATCTGATAGATTTATGAAAACCATATAAAAGGAGAAGTGATCATACCATAACAAATAAAAAAACAATTTTTAACTGATAGCTGTCAAAATAAATAATTAGTTAAAAACATTTTATCTCAAAAACAGCACAATAAATTATTTTTTAGTTTTATAATTAATCGTTTTGAAATTATAAAAAATTTCACTTTAGTAAGACAGGTATAATGTTGCCTACTTACGCAAATGAGAACATGCAGAGATCTACCTTTTATCATTATTTTTATTCCTTTTGAAAATATATTATCCTGGACAAATAATTAAGACCATAAGGTTGTGATACTAGCAGCTGATGAGCATATTGTCATGAAACAGCTTCAGAGATTACTTGCACATGCTTCGCAATAATCTTTTGTCTCAGGACTAACTTTTCCTATCACTTCCCTATCCATAACTTTAACTTGGAATTACTGTATTAATAATTCTTTCATATAGCATAAGACTGCTTTCATGAAGGCAAACTAAAAATAGTGCTAAAAGCTGGATTCATTTCACTTATAAGAATGACGAGAAAATTTAAATTTCTTATGACATACCACCAGTATTTAAAAGTATGCTTATGGCAGCTATGGGAAAAGATGAAAATGAGCTAATCCTTAATGACACACAGCCAGTGCAATTTGAACACCTTCCTTTCAACCAAAACTCACCCTTTTTTTGTATTTTTCATATTTTTTGCAGAATTTCTGCAAGTTTTAAAGAAAAATATTACCAGTCATTAAAAGCATGCACGTTTAAAATAATTAAAATCCACAAATTAAATTCATAAAGGAAACACCTTATTTCATTTTACTTTCACCCTCACTTTTCTCTGCATTCTAAACAAAGGCTCTGCAAGACAGATGTTATCATAATAAATACATCTTAGGATACCATATAAAGTACATAACCATTGAGTCAAAGAATATGAATTCCTCTTATACCATTCAAATTCTTTGACTGACTGTCGGAGATCTATTCAAGGCTGATGCTATGACTGTAGTGAACTAACAGTCAATTTTTCCAAAACAGAAAAAGAGGAAATAGTGAATCATATTAGCTTGGAAGCTATACAGTTGATGCGATTTAAAGGAATGGAATTTTGATACCTAACAGTTTGTTTCGTTTCAGCATAAATGCTCTCCAAGTTCTATACTCTGAATGGGAGTTTTGCATTCTTTAAGAATATTCTGGATAAGACAGGATATTTTTTATAAAGGTAATTAAATTTTTGCTTTGCAACCATATATATCTTGAGGAAAATGACTGTGTTTTCATTGGATACCAGATAAGAAACACTGTTGATGAAATCACCTCCCTTTTCGTCTTTTCCAAAAAAATCAAATTCTCATATACAGTACAAAATCCGCAATTCGGACTCGTCGGGACTTCGGCGATTCCGGATTAGGGGTTTTTTGGGATTATAGATCATCAATTTAAATCTGGTAAGATGGCATGCAGAAATTATACAATTCAAAAATATGAAACTGTAATTTATGAAATAAAGAACAATTATGATCTAAAGGGTATCAAAATTCCCCCCCTCAAAAAAAAGCTTAATATTTATTTATTTACTTTAGTAAACATTTCTTTCAATGTAAGTTGTTTAAATTGCTTCATTTTTTTGTGCTAATCCTTTCTCTTTAATTCTATAAATAGGCATCATTTCTTGTTTAGTTACAAAGTTCTACTGTTCAAATCCTGTAATTGCTGTGTCGAGAATACCGACTAACTTGTGAATCGAAATTTTTTCGTTTTTAATAGAGTTCTCTGTTACTTTCTTCATTATCAGAAGCGTGCATCAAATGCACATGCGTAAGTTTTGTGGCTTTGAGGTCCGGATTATAGATCATTCCGGATAATGGACGTCCGAATTACGGACTTTGTACTGTATTCCCTGACCAACTCTAGATGCTCTGTTTATGTGTCAAAAATTCCTCCATGTGGCAAGCTGTAAACATAAAGTTTTCTGCATTGACGATAAGATGAACTTTATTAAAAAAATATGAAATAAAAGCAGCCTAATAGTTATCTACTGAGAATACAGCTTGTCGAAAACTACACTTGGTGTAGGTGAAAAATTGACTTGATAATTGCGTCTCTAACAATGCTCATGGGAAATGAAAAGCTGAGAAAGTCTCTTACAAGCTAATAAATTGCTAGAACAATGAAATAAGTTTTTAATTTTATTAACTATCATATTTCTAGAAAATATGCATATTTTATCATGAATACGGTGCCATCACATGAATAAAAATACAAATCATTGCATTAGGGTGTTGAAACATCCCACCACACAAATGCAGGCTTCTTAATACATTTTTATTCATACAAAATATAGAACTGAGATTGATGGAATTGTTTGTGCAAAAATATGATAAAATTCTTCTGAAATTTGCATCATGGCTGCAGAAAATTACAAATTATTTTTGTACTCAAAAGTTATAAGTAAATTGATCAATTTTTGTTATTCATTGTTAGTGCTTTTATATTTTTAAGGATAAAATAATTATTCATATTTATAAATGTGTAATGTAAAGGAAAAATCAGATCTATAACATTTAAGCTAAGTAACATTTTGTGCAAAAATAAGAACTGAAAAAGTATCGCCAGTAAATTTAATAACTGTTCATAATAATAATTGTAATTAAATCTTAATATCATTTTTTTCAATTAAATTTATGACTAACTTCTTTTGGTAGATGAGTCACAGTTAATCAAGTCTTGTTTACTCAATGTCAAACTTTTACATGCTTTTGTGATATAAACCATTTCTCTTAATGCATGGTTTAATATGTTTGATTAAACCTGGTTTAATATGTTTGAGCTGATGATCATACATATTAAACCACCAGATATCTCAAAACAAATTTTCAGTCACTTGAAATTTGTTGTATAGGGGATTCAACTGCATTGCATTGAAAATGCTTGAAACTGAAGAAATTGTTCTAAACTATATGTCTAGATCTATTAAAAATTCATCAAAATATCCATAACCAAACATTTACTTCTTTCTTCCAATGCATGGTTTAGAAATGTACATATGAAATTTAATATGCAAAATTCCAATATTAATTGTAAGTCCACTTCTATACTGAAGCAAAAATTTTTCCATGTTGTTTACGAGTTGGATTGACTTCAAGGTTTTACATAGGGATGTTAAAAATTTGCTTCTAACATCCGCAAAGGTTCCATAACTATTTCAGCTTTAAGTCACATTTTAATTTGGTAAGGTGATTATTTGAATATAACATTTTCTGTGAAGAGGATCTCTTTCTCGAAAAAACGGAATAGCCACTTCATCTCTAGACAAACAGTTGTGGAATCCACTGGGGAAAAAAAAGCCTCATTAGACGAAAATGTGATTGCACAAGCAATGGTTTTTATTAAAGACAGTTATCACCAGGAAATATGTCAAACCAAACTCATGACACCTGGCACCAAAGAACTATTCTAAAACACACAAAATAAATAAATAAATAAATAAAACACTAAGTGATACAGCTTTAATGGAAAAGTACCCAAAGAGGAACACGAACACATGAAAAATATGCAGCATACTTAAATAATATTATACACATGTAACAAAAGTAACAACCTGATAATAGATAGTCAGCAGCTTCACGTGGTATTTTTTCTAAAAGAAGTCTTCCTTCTCTTGACTGCCTTTCCACAGGAAATACAGTAGCATCGCTATTATTTAAAACTGAAAACAACCTGAAAAAATATACACATTTCTTTACTTTCACATAATTTTTTTTTTTTTTTTTTTTCCAATACACAGTCTAACCAAATAAAAAGATTTTCCTAAACTAAAGAACTTGTAAAAATTACCCTGTAGTGAAATGATCTAATGTGTGAGAGAAGACTTTAAAAAATAATTAGAGTTAGCTAATTTTATGAGATTAACAATCAGACATTTAGAAATGTTGAGCTAATTCAGAAAGAATATTGTTACTAGCTACACATTTACAGGGATCTCTTCAGTGACTATATCAAATAAGCAGGAAGGTCACTTTAGAAAAATTGCTTCACAGCAAACTAAACAGCTATAAACAGCTCAAGGAGAACATCGGGAATGACACAATTTCTCCTTAACACATATGGAATATCAGAGACTACTGATATTACTCATGCAGTAAACTGTAAAACAATAATCTGAGCAAGAACTCAATATTATGACAAAATTCTGAACCAATTCACTAACCTAATTCTCTTTGAATTGGCTTTCTGGCAGGGCCAGTACTAGATATGCACTTGATGCAATCTCTACAGGTCCTAAATTTTGTTGTCCCTAAATTTTGCTTCTTAGTGCCTCTCATAAATTCTAAAAATTTTGCCACTTGATGCGACCATACTGGATGCACTGGCACTAAACCTACCCTCAGCTTCATTACAAATACATATATATATATATATATATATATATAAGTTAACACACAGGGTTGTCCAGCACATCTAAAAGCTTTGGAAGAATTGCTTCCAGGGTTTTAAAACTATGTTTTCTGAGAAACTTTCAAAATATTGCCAGGTTGGCAAAAATCACCAACTACTACCAACATAGAGACAGAAAGTGTCTCCAAGGCCCATTAAGAGAGTTTTTGCTATATCTTAGCTACTAATTAAGCTTTTATTAGTTTAGTTTATAAATCCTCGTGCACATAAAGGTGTAAATAAAAACACCTTGCTTATTGGAAAGCAAATCCAAGAGCTTGGGTAGCTGGAAGTATATTTAAAGATTGGTTTTTAAATTGTTTTGGTACCAGATGTTAAACGGTATTTAAGGCAGACAAATTTGAGCTTTAACCCTTTGAGGGGCGGTCTATAAAACACTTTAAATTGTGGTAAAATTTTGCATGAACTATAACTTATGGACCCTAATTGAGGTCTAATAACTAAGGACACAAAATTGATACAAAAAAAAAAAAAATCTAGAGTGAAATCCTAAATTTTGAGAGCCGGTATATATTTTATACCGGCACCTCTCTAAGACATTTTTTTTCCAGGTAGCTGCCAATTGTTAATTTTTGTTTTTAAAATTAATTTTGCCTACTTTTAATGTGCATTTGTAGAGATGGGTGCTTGAATATAGTTATGTGAGTCTAAAGACAAAAAATTTTAAAATTTCACTAGAAATTTAAAATTTAAAAAAAAAATTATGTTTTTATGCACTTTGATGATGCAAGCCAGCTGAACATACTTATGCAAAATATGGATAAAGAGCTTTTGAACATAATTTAAATTCAATATTATTATTTTATAAAAAAATTAGCAAATATGACACTGCATGCGTGAATCGTATCATGCTGTAATTGAACTAGTATGATATTACAAGGAAATATAACAGCCGAAAAATAAAAAAATTTTAAATTGAAACACTACGACTCAGATGAGAAAGTATGCTGCATTTTTGAAGTCATATTTTATGCTTTAGATAATATGTAAAAAAACCATGGTTCGTGCTATGATACCAAGAATCCCCCCTCCCCCCCCACACACACTTTAGATTATCGAGGACCGTAAGGGCCACTTTTTTTTTTTTGGTAAATATGGATTGTAATACAGTCAAAAGTCGTTAATCCGGACTTGTCGGGACCTCGGCGATTCCGGATTATAGATCATCAGTTTAAATCTCGAAAGATGGCATGCAGAAATTCTAAAATTAAAAATATGAAACCGTAATTTATGAAATAAAGAACAATTATGATCTAAAGGGTATCAAAATTTACAAAAAAAAAAAAAAAAAAAAAAAAAAAAAAAAGCTTAATATTTATTTGTTTACTTTATTTAACATTTCTCTCAATGTAAGTTGTTTAAGTTGCTTCATTTTATGGGATAATACTTTCTCTTTAATTCTATAAAAAGACATAATTTCTTGTTCAGTTAAAGTTCCGCTGTTCAAGTTCCGTTAATTGCTGTGCCGAGAATACCGATTAACTTGTCAATCGAAATTTTTTCGTTTTCACTAACCTCTCTGTCACATTCTTCATGTCTATATCCATTTTTTGCAGCAATTCCACTTTTTGTTTGTTGGACATCGAAACATACTTTCGTTTTGTAGATCCTTTGGAAGTTCCAGCATCGGAAATTCTATTTGACATAATCGAAATTTCAAGTTTACTTTTATAAAATTGCTCTTACAGTCTGCAAAAAATAATAAGTGGGATCCAATTCGAAAATTAAGGAACAACGCAATCATTAACATTAACTGAAATAGATAATTAGATAATTTTAGCTTACACCGTCCGTTATACATCAAACGCGCAGGCAAAAACGTATTCTGCACTTGCGCACACGCATATGCGCAGTAGTCAAGGTCTAACGTGCACGCGTAAAACGCCTGTGCACATGTGCCAACGCGGCGCATGCGCAGAAAGTTTTTAGCTTATAATAGTTATAATACTACAGGGATTATAGATCATTCCGGATTATGGGTGTCCGAATTAACGACTTTTGACTGTATACCTTTTTGTTCAGGAAGAAAAGCCGTTAAACAACTTTATTATTTTATACACCTCAAAGCTCTTATATCGCTTTTCAACCCCTTTAGCCTCCTAGGGAGTCTTTTTCAACTTTTGGATAAATTCTAGTTTGCATCTAAAACAAGCCTTAGAAATATTTTCCCTCATTTCATGAACTGTGAAATTTATTTCAAAAACAACCTAACCCTAAATTTCTCTTGCATTCCCTAGTCTTTCATCTGAAATTAACAAAGATGATAAGAATAAAAGCATGCTTTCAAATCACCAGTTTTTGTGATTGCACTAAGAGATGGATCTTAAGTGCACTTCCATTTCCCGTATTTTTAAGTAAGCTTTCTCTTTGTGTGATCTTATCACACCACACAAAGGGAAGAAGGCGTGACTCCCGAATGACAAATCAGTTGTCAATCACCTCCTTTCATTTTCCTTGGATTCTAGGATTTTGGAAAACACGAAGCAACAGGTGTCTTTTGGGGACTAACATGCCCCATTTAACCCCTACAATTGTGTAAAATTTTGAACCCAGACAGCAATTTTGAATTAGATGAGTCTTTCTCTTGGGAAAGGGTGAACTGCTGAAGTTAAAATTTTAGCTAAATAGAGACGAATGAAACTCAAGCGGGGTAAAAAAAAAAAAAAGAATAAAAAGAAACAAATATACTTGTATTCAAAGACCTAGTGCAGAGTCAGTAAACTTCCCATCCCTTCATGAACATAATACTGAATTTTAAACAACTTGTAAGTTAATCATAAGCAAATTATTACATCATAAACTATTATAATGTAAAGAAATGCTGTCATCTCACAGAGTAGAGAAGGAGAAGCCTGGTGCTGCCATCTATTGGCAAGGTACCCTCAGTAGGGGTGTATATACAGATATTAAAAATGCATACATAATCTTCTTTTAATTATCAGTTTTGATTGAAATGAATAAAATATAAAAGGTTAAACGTGTATGTCATATATTTACAGATTTTGAATTTTTTCTTTCCCTCCAATAGAATTTATCAATCTTCAAACATGATACCTTGGAACGAGGTATATTAATTTCACAACTGCAAAATATTGAGCATTCATAGGGTGGTGCTGCCATTTAGAATCGCAAGGAAACACTAGAAACTTACGATTATAGCTTTTGGTGTAGAGAAATTAGCATTTTTTCGGAGGTTAAAAAATTGACAAACAACCGGTATATATTACGTATTAATATTATATACCAGTACCCCTTAGGGCACCGGTATAAGGGTTAAGGCATGTATTAATATTAGATAATGCTCCATGTCACCCACAAGATTTGAACCATCTCAATGTCAAAATACTGTTCCTACCACCTAATACTACTTCATTACTCCAACCACTAGATCAAGGTATTATTTATACCTTTAAAACATATTACATAAGAAGAGCATATCGCGAAAGGTTGATCTAATTCTAAATGAAGCTAAATACTTCAACAATCTACAAAAATAATCATTTTATTTACAAAGCAACCTGGATTGCATCGATGATTCACTACTAACTACGTCGCAAACTGAAAAACTAACATTCTTTCTCAGAAGCTGTAAATCAAATTGAGTCTGAAGACACTACCACTGATGAAGATTGTGAAGTTAATAATTTAACATTAAAAAAATTAAAAGAAGGCCTATGCTTAGCTGAAAATGTTGAGTTATTTTTCTTAAGTGCAGACCCTTCACCTGAAATAAGTCGAAAATTCAAAAAGGGAGCTGCAAAAATGTCTAGCTCTATATTGAGAAATTTAAAATGACCTGGTAAGAAGTAAGTAAGAAGACCTGATAAGTTGTGTTAGATTAAAATATGTAATTTTTTTGTTTCGTGTTGTACATACATATATATTTTTAATAAAAATTAAGTTGTTTATGTATAGTTAAAAAAAAATTTTATGTGCATCCTACCCAAGTTTTTAACAAGTTTCCGGAACGTAACCCCCCTTTTTATAATGGCTCTGGGTCTCATACAACACGGCATTTTCTAGGAACCTATCTACCATGTTATACGAGGGTTACCTGTATATCTTTATAATAAGAGTAATCATTATTACAAAACACTTTTTTTTAACCCTGACCAAATTTTATTGCTAATAACAGTGTTAATGTACGTACTTTCATGCACTTCTTATCAAATAACATTAAAATTATGTTAGGGCTTGGAATTTCAATCTATTAATCTTAATTAATCACACTAACCAAACTTCCTTGGTAATTATTAATATTT